TTTAACAAGTGGCAACTTTAAAATAATTTCACAATAAAACACTGTTTGCCTGATGAAGGTCTGGTACTGAAACGTTGCAGCATAATAAATCAGTGATTGCAAGTTGGACAGTTTTTGATTTAGTCCCTCTCCTTCGCACCTGTTCCACCAAATGGAGGTGCAAAGCATTTTTAGACAATAACACATTTTAAAGTTCTATTCATTTAAAATCAGATAGATAGAATGTTTGTAAAATGTAGTATATTTATGAAGAAAAATTTAATCTTTATTAATATTATTTATTTATTTAACCTTGGCCCAATCGGTATCAAACAGGAGTTGCACTATTGCACTGCATATTCAGTGCTACTTAATCAATGGAGGTGACAGTGGGAGTGTGAAGTGGCTCACCAAAAAACTCCCCGTCTGCTATTAGAATAACAAGAAGTAGACAGGAGTTTCTCAATCAGCAATTTGGCCGTTCATGAAACAGAGAGTCGAGCCGCAGCGTGACTTGAGAGCACAGAGGAGGATAATTCTGTTAAATCAAGAAGAAGACACATTCTGAGAGGAATGCATTCGCAGACACACTAGAAGTGAACAAATGAAAGAGCTAGTTTCGCAGACACAAATTATTTTATTCACAGCTCTTTTGTCATTCCTGTGTATACAGCTGAGTGTGTGTGTATGTGTGTATGTGTGTGTGTGTGTGTGTGTGTGTGTGTGTGTGCGCCCAGAGAAACCTGTGCAAGTTGTTGCTTGAAATGTGTTGCCTGTCGCCTTCGGAGGTTAACACAGAATCACTCAGTGGTGCGCGCATTGTCATTGACAAAGAGCTCTGCAAAACAGGAAAGGAAAATCAGTCACCTTAGGTGTCAAGACTCAGTGCAGAATATTTTAGCATTTGCATGTTTATTTGATGAGTGCCTCCGCCAGTGCACTGACACGCCGCGGCGGTGATTGGACTCACAAACAGTTGTGGAGTCTGAGTATGTGAGTCAGATCCTGAGATCATCAGTGCTGCTTTTCCTAATCAAGTTAATTAGAGGAATTGCCGTGGGAGCCGGATTGACAGCAGACAGGGACCGTCAGTCCACTTACTGTTGCCCGCAGGCTGTCGTCGTGCAGGAATTGCATGAGAAATGTGGGTCAACAGGGTGTCAGAAGAGACTCAAGGCATTGTGGGTGTTATGTGTCATTGGGCTCTGAGCTACCACGCTGTTTTTTTTTTCAATTTATACATTTTTCATTCCATCTTCTGTTTCCTCTGAGCCCTCCCTCCTGCTGTAGCTCCTGACTAGTAAAATACTGAATAATAAATCTTCAGCTCTGTGGTTGCATTTTTACTTGTTTCCTTTTGTGTTTATCGCTCAGTGTGGTGCACATAACCTGATGTTAGGAACACTTGTTTGGATTAGACAAACCATGTCTCACCTCTGATAGATACGTGTCACGAGATCAGGGATCTGCTTTCTTCTTTCCCACAAGCTTTTTCTGTGCTTGTCTTCATTGTGAAGAGCGGCACGTTCGTTGGTGTAAGTGCACAAAGAGGCTTCGACTTACCTCCAACCTGTGATAAGTATTCAGCAGTAGACAGACACAGCCCGCGGGTATGCCTTTTGCTGTATGCTAATATACCCTTTTCTCTGCACCTCCTTTTCCCTCGACTAATATGATACATAAATGTTTTTAATGCGGGGGAAGGCGAACGAAGTCGGATCAAAGCCCTGCAGGTGAAGAAACACAGAAGGCGGAGCTTGCTGCAGATTGGCTGTGCCCCATTGGAGTCCTTGGTTGTAATGGATTGCAGTTGCAGGTGATCCCTGCTGCCAGTTGGCCACTGCAAGCATCACCTGGATTACACTGATTCACTGCCCTGCATAATACAGGCAGCGATTTGGAATTGCACATGGACCCGAGGGGGGAAAGTCCAATTAGCATATGTATGAGCTAAGCGGAGATGGGAGGAAGCTCCAGCCAAAATAATCTCCCAGCATTTTACCAACACGTAATGGAGGGTTAACAGTGTGCGCCTGCTTACCGAGTCCTCCCGGAGCTCGCTCTGCCATCACACCCACCTAACAGGGGGTTGTTACGCTTTAGAAGTTAGACCATGGCATTGTCGCCACTTCATTCACTTTATCAGATAACACCACTTAGCAGGCAGGAGTGATACTTCAGACAGACAGGAAAGCACACATCAGAACATCAGCAGGACGTGTTCGATGTGGCCCTCGCCTGGACCTCCACAGGGGGAGTATTGACACAGCGCCGCCTCGCCTGAAGTAATCCCCTCTGGGTCGTGCCCTGAAAATGCCACACTAATTAAAATAGAAAAGTTACACAGTGGCAGAGAGGATGCCGACTTATGTGACACAGAGAATGTAAAGTTCTCTCAGCTGGTAAGTTGGTACAGAAACAGAGCTGAGTACACACCAGCAGAGCGGAATTATTAGATAGAATTATTCATTCATATTTGAATTCTTTATTTACTGCGGTCTCTCCTTACTTTTAGTAGACCACTTACTGCACCTGCACAGCCCCCAAAACAATTCCTTTATGTGACATAACTGATGTTCCCATTCAACAAGCTAACATTCATGCGTAAACAGCTTTAAACCAATGCAGCAACTTTGGTCTATTCTGGACCTGCTCGACAGAAACACTGATACATGCACGAGACGATGGATGTAAGTGTTCTGGAGCAGACCAGGGAGAGAGGGAGCTGGAACAGGCTTGTGAACGCCATCCCACAAGCCTTAGTTGTGACAGGCTGCCATTTCAAAGCCTCCGCCAGCATCTAAGAGAGAGTAAAAAGACAGCTTTGGTTTTTAACTGTGTCATAAGATTTTTACACTTGGAGAATTTTGTCTCCTTCTTTTTCTCCCATACACCCTCTCCAGTTAATAAATCAGGCGGAAATTTTGCCCCCCAGAGGAAGGATGATAAAAAAATTAGTTTTGGAGGGGAATTCTTTCATCTTTTTTATGTGTGTGAAACAAAGAGCATGGGAGACAAAGGCGTTATCGGAGACTGCAGCTGTGTTTTTAGGAGCCTGTCCTTGGGAAGTGGGCTGGTGAACTTTTATGGAGGCCAAGGTTGTACAGTTAAGCTCAGATCACAAGCTTACAAGTGTTAGACACGCATACACACAGACACACACACACACAAACGAGGTGTTGAAAAGAGATCTGGAGGAATCAATTGTTTTTGAAGCCGTACCAAATTAAGCAGCACCGAACAGCTTACATATTTATGTGGCACCTCCAAGCTCCTCTGAAACAGCAGCTTGGCATCGCAACACACAAATCAATAGCTGCGTTCCACCTTCTAATCTGAGACACTCACAGATTTTCCAAACAGGAGAGTCTGTGTCCTTGCTTGAGATCCAGACAGATTTGTTACGTACTGTACAGCCATAAATAAGTCAGAAAACATCAGGACCGTAGTGGACAACCTATACAATCACTTAATTTATCTATTTCAATATCTATATTGGTCAGTGTTTGCCTGAACATGCTCAGGTGACATTGATCCATGTGTTGTATCCACCCTGCATCACTTAAATTAGAGTGAAACAAGCTAATTGCCCATGTCTTTGTTATCAGATAATAATTAACCCCCAACATTAGTGCTCTGAGTCGCCACCAAGCGCTTCTGAACTAATAAATGAATCATGGAGCTCTAAGCACGCCAACTTGGCCCCCTGTGATGCCATCTAATCCCATAATGGTCACGATAATGATGGAGCCATGGGTGGTGTCATTACAAGGGCCAGTTTCCATGACAGCACCCACCCCTCAAGAGGTGTAGAGTTGCCTCAAGGAGAGGAAGAAGTTTTGTTTGACTTTGGATGTAAAATGCACCCCTCTCAATTTTCCCCAGCACTTCTCATCAGAAATTTTTTTGGATGCCTCCGTCTGCTTTTTCTACTAATCTGCAGACACACCACATTTAGCTGAGTGATCCATGCCTCATGTGCATAGTCTTCCCAATGAAAGTCATCACAGAGCCAGGCCATCGTCTCTCACTTACTCTAGATACCAGAGTGTACGCCATCCTCACTTTAGGCCTGAATTTTCTCATTCGCAAGCCAAGTCCTCCAAATTGACACGCTTACAGTAGCACCCTGTCTTAGTCTACACAATGCCAAGAAGTTTTTTCATTGACACATAAAGCTATAACAAATTCATTGAGTCGGGGTGGAAGGCTGCGATCAAAGGTTTGTTCACACGTTTTTTTTCTGGTTTCCTCTCGCTCCTGATCAAGTCAGGTTATATCAGCCCAGCCGCTGCCGAAGATCATAGGTGCAAAATCAAGTCTAGGTTTTAATGAAGTCATGCTGGCGCCAGTGGTGAGAGGAAGAGACTGAAGCAGACACCTCTCTGTGATGTTCAAATTTCATATCTGCCTCTGCGCAGGAGCTTGCCATTTTGTAAATTATTAAGCAGAGGACTCTTTCTTCTCTTCGCCTGTTTCTCTTTTTATTTTTTCTCTCTCTCCCCGTCATGCTCTTCCTTCTCTTGCTCCTTCATGTCAGTTCAACCAGCTTTGGCAGAAGCAGTGGCTCTCACTGAGATGCAAATGGTAGCCTTTGAAGGGGCACGTCAATTAATCCAGCCGTTTACTGACCTGAAAAAAAGAAAGGCTCTGCAACCATTGTCTGTAGGCTGTTTCATTTCTATTGTGCCAAAGGACCATGTTTTTATCCACTGTCCACATGCCACTGGATTCGGAGTACTCCTCAGAGTCAGGATATATCAGGGGAGGAAATGATATAGGAAGCTGAGGAATCAGAGGAGTCACAGGAATAGGGCTGTATTGCATATTCCATCATATCTCCCCTTCCCCCAAACCCTTTCTAACCCTCAGCTCACCACGTAGCTATACTATTAACTTACCTCCCTGTCACCTTTGCCCTTTTCAGCCCCAGACCTTTCTCCAACCTCTACTTGTAATCATGCAACTTCTTAGCTAACCCTCTAACTTTTCTCTCTATCTCTTGGGTGATGGGCCTCCAGATCTCAATGTGCCAAGCCCATGCTTGGATAAGCTGTGCGAACACGGGGCGATGTGTGTGGTGCAGAACAACGAGCCAGTGTGTGAGTGCCCCGAGGCCTGCGCCCAAATTTCCGACCCCGTGTGTGGATCCAACGGCCACAGCTACGGAAGCCCCTGCGAGATGCGAGCGATGGGTTGTGCCCTTCAGAAGTCCATCCACATCAAGCACATAGGACCCTGCGGTGAGTATCGGCACTACTAAACACCACCCAGCTAAATATAGTATGATGACCTATTCCTGCAGTCATATTACAGCGTACAATCTCATAACATGGTTTCACACATATCTGGTGAAGATTCTCAGTCAACCATCTTCAGAAGTTGTACATGAGTTAATTGGCAACTAGACGAGATAGAAAACACTAGTAAGTCCAGTTGAAGATGGTTTTAAACGTGCACTGAACTCCAGATAATCTCCTGACATTCTCCTCTATGTGAGAACACAAATGTTCGAGTGATCCCATGTGAGAACACAGTAGGAGATTCAAACAGTGAGCAAGTCGATTAAAGTTTCTAACAGGAAATGGATGCAAATCTATTAAGATTACCATAGATATACCATAGAAACAAAAAAAAACTAATCTATCACCATAAAAAGGCAGTGCCACACATGTAGTCAAGTTACAAAGACAACAACATTCGAGAGCTTTTGGTTATACATGCTGACCCTAGAATTGATGTGCTGTAATAAAAAGCACAATTTTATGTCCTACTTCTGCCGCTGCAAGACCCCTCATCTTAACACTCTGGATATTCCTGTTGTACTTGTTGTGAATGCGTCTGAGTGAATAATCTCCTGCTGTCATGTGTGAAAGTCCGGACCCAAAAGTGTGGACATTCTGCGGAGTTCATGTCTGAAAACAGCTTTACGGTGCAGTCACGTAATTACCATGAAACGTGAGTCATATCTCGCAGGTAGAAGAAGATCTCAACCTGTGAAATATAATTTAGCTCAATTTAATTATTAGTGCTACATTACCCATTGGAATTCCAATACACAGATTGTAACATCTAATATATGTGGAGTTATTAATGTGTCAACACTTGGGGCTTCCCAACAAAGTATAAACAATAGATAATACTTCTTCAGGTCTGAATTTACTTATCCCTCATCCATTACTCTTCATCTCGCCTCTGCTGCTCTTCCTCAGCCCTTCTACAGCAACACCACATTTGCTTGTTTCAACCTTGAAGTAAAGAAGCACTTTTCCATCAGAGAAAATAGAGCACAAAGGGGTGGGTCACTTGGCTTTGTGCTGCAGTGCCGGAGAATCATCTAGTCATTAGTACACCAGCGGATCCAAAAGTGTTAAAAATATCCTCAGACCTACTGTGTGAGCACATAGACATTCAGGCTGTTTTTTAAAGCTTGGTGAACCCACTCTGAATACTCTGAATGGTTTAATACCATCTTGCAAGGCCACGTTTCCTATGAACTGTAATTGTTGATTGAGTATACCTTCCTCGTCTGCAATCAAGCCATTCGCTTTTCACACCCACTGGGCAGGAGTGCAGGAGTTATTAAACCCTTGGCCCGACTCTGTCAGCTACCTCATTCACTCAGTTTTACAACAGATTTTTATCTGCATATTGAAGCCCACGACAATGAGAATGAAATAGAGTTGGCCTCTGTGGCGCTGTATTTGTGGATGAGGTGAGCAGTTAACAGACTGATCAATACAACTGAATTATTCTGATTTTTCTGGTACTACTCTGAAGTCTGCAAACAGTTTGTGGCTCATGGTCACTTTTTTATGAGCCAGTCTGATTGTTGCATATAAACAAACAGCAGTCTTTTTAAAAGGAGTAGATGACAAGTGTGATTGTTGGAGAGGTCCTAGATGGACTCTTTTTTTCTCTCTGCCTGCCCACATATTGCGAACGCTTTCCCTTGCAGCTTTCTCGAAATTGAAATCCAGCATGAGAATGTATGCCAACAGGAAATGGAGAAGGAGCGTGTTTCGACGGTGGGCAGGCGGATTCAATTTGGTGCGCGGCACTGCAGGTTGATGGCAGGTCTGTCGGCCTGGGGTCCTTCTGAAGTAATGAATAGTCTTTATTTTAAAAAGCGGGAGGCAGAGAGCGCTGGCAGAGTGTGGGGCCCTGTCTATATTCCAGCGCTATGGATGCTTCTTGGCTCCCAGAGGAACAGGCCTGCATCAGTGCAACGGTGCCATAAAAATGCTGAGGCATCGGCTTGCCGGGCTGGAGCCGGCCGAGGAATGATGGCTATGATGATGTTGGTTATTTCTTGGCTGTTTGCTTTCGTGGACCTTATTCAGCACCATAACAACTGACTGACTTAAGCTATTATCTCACTTAATTATCACAGGCTTTCCCCCCACTAATACACTATACATCTTTATAGAGCAGAAAAGGAGAGGAGGATAATATATGCTACTTTCAGATGGCATTCTAAGTATTGGAATTAAAACTTGGCAGGGGCAAAGGAAGAAAGTGGTGAATAAAGTTAGAATTTCCTGTGAACCCCCAAATATTCTACTGAGTATACTATTAATATACTACTAAATAATAACACTGTTAATCGGCAATGATTAACAGTTCTTGTCCAGATTTATTGCTTTAATTTTCTTTCTGCCACATTGAATCAGTCTTTTTATGTTTTCATATGTGTAGGTTTTATAGCCATAGAAAAATATTAATATTGTTTACTTGCTCTGTTTTGTTATATACCCCCAAATGCACTATAATAAATAAACTGTCAGTTTTACTAGGATCTTAGGAGAGGGCAGCAGAAGGTGTGATATAACGTGTGTTAAGCCGTGTGTTTGTGTGTGTTTGGCTTCAGTTTCCCATGGGCGCTGCTATGATTTCATTTCCTTCCCTCTGGGCTGGAAAAATAGTGGTTATCTAAATGACTCAGATGCAACCCAGTAGTGATATGAGTGACATTTGTTATTATTCCAAGATTTTTCCTTTACTTGCGTTTGAGTGGCAGGCAACCTTGTAAGGTGGGCTGCTCGAGGTGCGCTCGGTTAATAGACCCCCCAGCTGGATATCAGTGGCCTTGGAAAAAAGGGCCATTCGTACAGCTTTAGCAAACAGATGAGAGCAGAGATGCTGGAATCATTTTGAAAAATAGGGAAATTACAAATTCCCCCCACAGGTGTTGGATGTGATATACACAGTTGACTAGGAAATATAGGTCACACCAGCAGCGTGAGAGTGGTCAGAGAGAAACAGTTAAAAAAGAGGGCAGAGGAAAAAAGGGTGGGGAAAGTAATAAATGGAGGGAGGCAAGGAGACGGAGGTAAATAAGATGAGGAGGAGCAGAGGAAGTGGGGGGCAGAGTTAATAGTTTGTTGGCCAGGCAGGCATCGACAGGGGAGTTGTTATCATCCAGGCATGTTCACAAGCCTTCAAAACACAAACCAGCCTACTTCTTTCTGCTTAATCCTGAGGTAATATTCCGCCCAGACCCCCTCAGCCACAATTCAAAGTTTTCCCACTGAGGATATCAACAAAACGTTGTAAAGCTGGAGGCCCTTTGGTTTCTTTCTCAATGACTCAATCCTTCATACTTTCAAGGCCACTTTTCATAGCACCCTGCCCCTGTTACTCACGCTCGCTTCCAAAACCATAAACAGTACCATCAAACACAACAACGGGAGCCGTCACAGGGCATCACAAGTTAGCAGTGTTTGTTTCTGGGGAACCTTGGCTAAATTCAGCAGGTCCTCAGCAAAATACATAAGTTTGGTTTGATAGTTAGAGGAGTGACACAAGAGGAAATATGGAAAGATGAGGCAGGTTGGTAAAATAACTACCATCTTTGTGTAACATTACCCAATTACATGATGCAGTGACCTATTGTGTAATCATAGCGATACAATCATTCACTCAGTTGTGGAAATATTTGATATATTTGTGTTTTAAATACATGAATTAGACCTTAACTCCCTAATCTTACCCAATAGACCCAAGGTTTGTGTTTGTATAAAAACTCTCATGTCCAAGCCGAATGTAATTCATTTCATTCTTATTTATTATCATAGACAATACATTGTATTATTTACAATCAGTTACACTTAACTGGATGTTGTAGGACAAGACAAAATAAGATGAACTAAAGCTCTTGCCACTACCAAAATACTGTGTTTACAATGCAGGACTCAGTGTTAGATAATGATGTTCCTTCTTCACTTTGCTCTTTTTTGCATCTCATGTAGCTGATATGTTGTGGGTCCATCTGCAGGTGCTGAATTAAACTAAACAAAGACCAGTGTTAACCCTTAAGACCCTTAAGAAATATAGATTCTCCAACTAACAAAATGGTTTCCTACAACAACCACACACATATAATATGCCTCAGTGATAAACACTACACAAATATCGAGTGTTCTTGTGTCGGTTTAAAGCTTGGCTTAGCTGCAGTTGAACAAAAAACGGTGATTACCTGGGTCAAATCTTTTTAGTTTACTCTTCCAGCTCAATTTTTGGATAAAGTAGTCGATTTTATCAGACCTGGCATGAGAAGCATTTTCCTTTGATGTTGTGTTAGACTGCAGAGGCTCTTGCACTGGCGGACGTGTGAGGTATGTGAATGAGATGACAGAAAGTGGACATCTTAATATTAACAGTAATGGCCATAATTCACCCCTCTTTTCCTGCCTTTGAACTGAAGCTCCCCTCCATTTCTGTCTGTTTGTGATGCATGCTTACCAGAGGATCAGGCACTGTGGAGAGCCAGGTGCGAGGGGCAAGAGCTGATAAAGAAGCAAGGCTCCTATCAGGACGCAGTGCCTGATAAAGGACAACACTCGCTATCGCCACTTCCTGATTTATAGCTGCTGCAACGACAGTGGAACCCCCCCCCATTTTAAAGACCCTTATATTTTATATGTATTTATTCTGTCACAGAAAAGCCCTTGCCGACAATTTTTGTATATCTGTCTTTTTGCACAGAGGCATTGTCAGGTTGAAAGAAGAAAGGGACTTCCAGAACTGTTGGCACTTATTTGCTAAAATATCGTAGGAATTGTACTTCCCTTAATTTTAACTAATAAATAAATGGAGCACAAATAATTGCCCCACCAAATTTTTTTTATTGATTTAGAGGAAACACTGATCCTGTTCACTCTACTCCTTCTTTATACATATATATATACATATATACATCATTCTGTATACAATATACAGTCCATTGCTTCTACATGCAGCATACTATATTGTAAAGGTCCAGTGTGTAAGATTTAGGTGAAAGGGATCTATTGGCACAAATTGAATTATAAAATAATCCTCATGATGTTTTCACTAGTGTGTTTCATCAAAATTGTATGAATTGTTGTTTTCTTTACCCTAGAAAAGGCCCTTTATTTTAAATACTTTATATTTAAATCAAGGGGGTCCTCTCTATGGAGGTCGCCATTTTTTTTACATTAGTCCAGACTGGACAAACTTAACACCGTTTGAGTTTTTATGACAACTGAAGGCTGCCACAGGTTCTCTTACATTTGGAAGGTGAGGGTGAGGTGAGGGGTGTTCAGCTGCAACATGCAATTCCACCACTAGATGTTACTAAATTCTACACACTGTACCTTTAAGTGTCGTATACAACCATAACCAGTTCAAAATCCAGGAAGGGAGTGGGTGCCAGCTCTAGATGGAGAGATGAATGAAATGAGAGACTCTAAAAGCGTAATAAACAGATTAATAATGTGGAAGGTTCCAGCGGCCAGCCTCGCCTCTCTCAATTAGTGCTAAATCAGCAGCAGTTATTAGCCTGGCCCTAATTGAATGTGATAGTGAGCTGCGCTAATGCAGTCTTCGAGGAGTAATTGGTGTCAGAGGGAGAGGTGCATCTACTGCGAGCCATGTCTCTCTCTGCAAGGCCTCGTGTTTTCTTTCTCCTTCATTCCCATGCACTCGTGTGACATCAGTCAGCTCCCTGAACATGTCTGAGCCTGCTTTGCTGTTTCCTGCAGGCAGTTTCTCAAAATGATCCAAGTGAATCCCCCCAAAACACCTCAAGGGGGTTTTGGTATCTCAAGGCAGTTTTTTGGAAAGCAAATGTAAAAATCATCTGCCTGATTCACTCTTGGAATCGTTGTGGATGGTAGAATAGATGTGAAAAACCTTTCAAAGTGGTAAATAACAGGAAAGTGAAACTTTTCTCACTCATGTCTGTCCACTTTCCCAGTACCTGGTGCTCAGGTAAAAGATAATGTTGGCAGCGTTTCTTCCATACCTTCCCAAAGGAACGGCAGTAGCCAGGTGATGAGGAGTACCTGGCAGCACCTGCCTCACCAGATACAGCAATTGGTATTCAGGCCAGAAAGTTCAACGCTTGTCTCATCAGACCAGACAATCTTTTTCCTTTATGCTTTCAGGGTCCTTTAAGTGTCATTTGGCAAACTCCAGCTAGCCCGTCATGTGGCTTTTTCTCAGTAGTAGTTTCAGTTCTAACCACTCTGCCATAAAGTACTTTATATATAGTCTATGGTCCTGATTGATGGAGTGCTACAGAGACGGTTGTCCTTCTGGCAGCCTCTTCTAGTTTTGCAGAGAACCTCTGAAGCTCTGTGTGTTCAGTAATTCAGTTTCAGCTCATGAAAAAAAAGGTAGTTTTGGGTGGTTTCTCCTGTGATGGAGCCCACCCTGCTCCTGGGAACGTCCCCGCGCTTTAGCATCTTCTTTTTATCCTCTTCCTCAGATCCGTTCCTCGCTAGAATTCTGTCTGTGGGGAATTTTTTTTTTTGAATTTCATGGCTTGGTTTTAAGCTCCAACATGTCAACTGTGGAACCTTTTACCAGACAGGTGTGTGCCTTTCTAAAGGAATTCAAATCAATTGAATCTGCTATCCAATAAAGTTTTGAATCAATTCTACACTCAGTATGGAAACTTTGCATCCCTGCAATTCTTGTATTTGTGCTGCTGCGGTGCATTAAACCCCATAAACCAGCCAAGAGCAACATTAAGAAAATACAACAGCAAATTCTAACTATTGAATTGTTTTATAACAAATCGTCTATGTAATGAATTCTGAAACACTGAGGATTTTTAAGTTAAATTATGACTCTGTGTGAAAATATTACATTTGCATCTTTATCAATGTTATCATTTGTTGTTGAATAAACTTTTACCAAAAAAGTGCATTAAGATTATAGTTGTTACCATAGTGACGAAGTCAAATGTGAAGATTCAAAGTGCAAAGCTGACCAAAGAATGACAAAAACAAATACCTTTGCAACTAAATATCCATGTTAGCGAGTTTGAAATCCACTACAATGCATTTAAGATTAATGACACAAAATAAATTAGATCCATTTTTTGGTCTGCCTCATAAGAAGTATAAAAAGTGTAAAATTGTCATTTCAACATTTCCCAAATCTTTTGTATTTATTAGAGCCGAGTTGACTCGTAAAAATACCTGAAACACACTCACTTCTTCCTCTTTACTATCCTAGATGAGGCTTGTGCCAACTGCTCTTTCGGGGCAATCTGCGATGCCCAGAGCAGACAGTGTGTGTGCACGTCGGAGTGTGTGGAGACCCACCAGCCTGTGTGTGGCAGCGATGGGGAAACCTACAACAGCGAGTGTGAGCTGCACGTTCGGGCCTGCAAAGAACAGATTGACCTTAGAGTGAACAGCCAAGGAGAGTGCAGTAAGTAATACAGATGTTTATATGGTATGTGTCCCATACCTTTCTTTAGTCTCAACATCACATCACAACACAAAACAAGTAGTGCACATTCCTCTGCCTAGGCCCAGTAGTCCCCTTAAGTTTAATCAAGCTGCACCAAATTGCACACACTTATAGTAATCAATTCCCGAATCAAGATCCATGAATTATTATTATTATTCTTATCAGATCTTATCTAAATGTCAAAAAACATGTCTTACAAAGTTAAAGAAAAAAAAAACTGTATTGGCCTCCCTGATCCAGATTCGCTGCAGAATTTAAAGGGTTCTTCCCTGATCTATCCCACACCCTTTCAGTTTCATGGCAATCTGTCCAGTGGTTTTTGCAAAATCTTACTCAGAAACAAACAAACAACCAAACCAATCAACAAACACAAGAACAGGGGTGGAAACATTACCTCTTTGATGGAACATAATAAAGGATTCTGAAGCATGAATCCTAGGTTTAGACAAAGATGTACTCCATTCTATTTTTCAGGCTCTGAATTAAATCTGGATATTAAAAAAAGGATACTCATAAAGCTGCAGGCCATATTATAACAAAAAAAGAATTGCAGGACACTCCATTGGGAAATTACTGAGGAAACGTGTATGTCAGTTTTAAGAAAGGGTAATGTTACAAGAAGAAGTGGCCCGATCTCATTTGAACATCTATTCCAGAGATGCATTTTAAGTTCTGGTGAGAATGAAATCCATTAGCTTCATGAATATTTGTTTTTCCCTTCATGCTCTGAATCGTCCCTCTGCTGTGTTTGATACAGAAACATGTGGCAGCAATGTTTGTGCCTGGGGCGCCCGATGTGTCCAGAATAAGTGTGAGTGCCCACAGTGCTTGGGAGAGGCCTTCTCGCCGGTGTGCGGCAGCGACGGCACCACCTACAACAACAAGTGTGATCTCCTCGTCTCCTCCTGCATGCAGAAGAAGAGGATTGTTGTAGCGAAGCCCGGCAGCTGTGATGAAGGTAGGAAATGGACTTTGAAATGGAGTAATTATGTTAACCAGTCAGCCATTGCGATGGTGTAATTATCTTTATCAACTGACCTGTGATACAGTTTGCAGTCATCTGTGGATTTTTCATAATGGTTGCATATGCCACCAGCAGATTGCCAACAGGCTAACACAGCAAAAGATGAAGTGGGAGTCACTGCGTGGCCATAAAAGGAAAAAAAAACCTGTTACTGGAACAGAAATGACTTCTGGCTGATTAAGTTCAGGTCAACTGTATATTTTAGAGATGATAATCTTCATGCTTTGCCTGTCTTGTTTGTTTGTGTATCAGTGCATCTCATACTCCATTTCCTCAGCTGCCGTAAATAGAGGCGCGATAGCGGCCAGGTTCTTTATTTACCTCAAGAGCACATAAAGCCAAGCTCATAACAAGCCTCCCTGTTTTCTGTTCTGCTTCTTCTTAGTTCTGGCTGCTTCTTCTTGTTAATGGAATTCATTTTTATTTGCTTTGTTTGTTACCTTTCAATTCCTCTATTTCAAACTCTTCTTGTACAGTTTTATTAAAAGGTTTTAAATCATCACATTTTAAATTAACTTTCCAGCCGTGGACAAAGCTCCCATTTTCCTTGCAGGAAACATAACTCTTTCTCAAGTCATTTCACTTGGCTTTTAGTAGGGGATGTTGTCACAGCTATTGAATACCAGCTCATGTTTGAGAATTTACGTTATGTATTTCATCAAGCCCTTCTATCCAATTATGATTTACGTGTGTGACCGATGGCACTTAATGTGAGCATCCTCTGATTTCTACGCCTGTTGCTCCGTCGTTCCACCATGTTCCCCCCACAAACTCAATAAATGAGCTCTAATTTACCGTGCAAATCACATCTTGATCAGCGCTGATGGACCGAGGCAGCATATCACAGTCCCTCGCCCCGTCTTGGGGACGACTCTGGAGGGAGCGCATCGTGGTAACCTCTGGTTGTCATGCGGACGGCAGTGGTGCGGTTCCCCCTGTGGCTGTTGGGCCGTCACAGAGAAACGCAGTCATCCTCTGACAAGGTGTGAAGGGGAGCAGATTACACCTGCCAGCAGGAGGGATGGCTGGAGAGAAGAAAAGGGTGTAGATGGAGAACACAGCAGAAAGAGATGAGAGGAACCAACTTCCTTTTTGATTGCTAGCCGGGGGTGTTTCTTTCTTTTCATTTTTTTATTTCCACCATTGTCTGTCATACTGGCCCGGGGCCTGTGAGCCGAATGGTGCCGCCAAAGCTCCTTGTGGTCGATTTAGCACTGTTTCATTGACGGAGACAAGTGACCTTTTTTGTATTTGGAGCATGAAGAAATGTGAAACTGTTCGCCCGCGATGCAGACTCACTGTCACTACACACACAGACACCCACACTGTCCTCATTGTCTTGTGTTGTGTGGTATCAGGCAGAAACGCTGTATTCCACCTCCCCAAAGGCTTTTCTTTGCCTGTGGTGCCTGATGGCTTAGTTTTTCTTTTTTATTCCTCTCTCATATGTCACTGAACGTCCTCCTTTTTTTCCCCATCACTTTCTCATTTTGATTCGGAGAAAACCATCTGGCTTACACAATAGATTCTTTTTGTCTTCTTCTTCTTCTTCGCTCCCTGCCATCCAGCCCCCTCATGTCTCTCTCCATTTTGCACTGTTCTCCATCGAAATTGTGCCTCTCGACAAAAGGGGCACCGATGCTTTCACAGATAGGGGTGGAGATGGGATCGTCTGAAATCGATAAATTTCACCCTAGGGGCTACCACTAGTCATGTTTTTTTTGTGCACAAAGACAGTCCTTTCAGAATCTGAAGCACACCCTCCACAGGAACTCTGGTGTGATTGTAAAACGATCAAAAATCAAGTTGCTGTTTTTCCCCTCAAAATAACTGTTTGTCTGTGGGATACTTCTCTGCTACATACCATAAAAAAGATTTGTTGTTGATATATTCACCCCCGCCTGGATATTCGTGGGGTAGGTTTTGGCGAAATTAGGAGTTCATATTGTTTAATACAGCACCCTGTTGCAAAATATAATATCAAAGACTGTATTTTCTGGCTCTGTTGTAGACGGCAGCAAAGCTCTACATCATCCGCGTGCACAACCCCCTCTCCATACTTCATATTTAAGATAAGCCAGAGGAGGGAGTGAACATGTGATTAATTCTCTTATGTAGAGCCGACTTAAAAACCATCCTCATTAGTCTTGCGGGGAGGGAGGGGGGACACGGAGCATAAAAATGGAAGTTGTTTTCTCCTGCCTTTTATTTAGCAGTAATGAAAAATGACAGTGTTCCCACTGTTGGCCATACAGGGAAATTTATCACCTGTTTAATTTCACACTCGGGTAGGCCTGGCCTCAGCTCCTTTTCTCGACACTGACAAAGTGGCAACTGAGAGCAGTGTATCACCTACAGGGGTTTCCAGACCTTTTTTTAATTGAATAGACATTTAATAAACAAGATTATGAGAGGGATCACACAGTGATACACGGCCCACACCCCGCTCCTCACATCAAACTGATCAGATAAACACAGCTCAAAAAAGAAAAAAACACGTAATGGGGTAAAAAAAGAGAAAGCAAAGTGTGAGGCCGGGAGGGGTGAGGGCTCATTGGAGTGAGATCAGCGGATTTTTGCCTTCATGCTCCATCCATCACATGCCCTGTAACCTTCTGTTAAGGGAGCAAGCTTCTTTTCTCCCGGTGCCTTCTTCAAGCAGCCGCCACGCGGGTGGTGACGCTCCATCCCTCTCTATCTTATGGGAACTTTTATTTGGATAAACTCACTGTCACATCTGCCCAGAGTTGCTCGTGTGAGCGACTGATAGACAGAGCGAAAACAAAGGCGAACGGCGCCACACTGCATCCCTCAGCGAATGCCGCTGTCATTTTCGATCCTCACCGTAATTCTAATGATAAAATTCGAGTTGACATTCACACAGGTCATGACAACAGAGGCACCATAGAAATCTCGGTGACTTCTGGAGTCACTGATGTTGACACAGCTAATCTGGTCACCTCTTGCCTTCCCTCTACTATTTACCCTTTCTCTCTTCTTCTTTCTTAAACATACACTTCTGGACAGCTTTGACAAAAGCATCTCCCCCATCACGTCTTCTATTATTTGGCCCGTTGTAATGTTTTTTTCTCTCCTCTGTCTTTCATGGACATTATTCTTATGCTATTCATTTCCTTTCTCCCCACCGCAGCTGAATCCTGTCTTCTTAATGGAGCTCCCTTGGCTAAATAGACTCTAGCTCCTGACATGATTGAGTAAAAAGGAACGGATGGGCAGAGCAGAGAGAATAGCTGATACAGCCATCTTAGCTGGGGATGTATTAATTGAAAGGTTCATAGGCAGCGCGGGTGGTGGGCACATGAAAGAGCAACAGCTAATTAGGACCCCTCTTCGCCCTTCACTTTTATTTATTCCATTCTAATGTCTTACCTCTTTTATTTATTTATCTTGTCTCTGTAAGGGGTCCTGAGCGGAATATGAATTGGCGGCTCCTGCATTTCCCCTTTTGTTGTTGTCTTGCTGAGCTGGCGTACAGTACACAGACACAGTCAGCCAACTGAGGGTCTCAGCAATTATTTCTCTGCTCTGGAGTCAGCTGACGTCTCCTTTTCAAGTCACATTGGACGCCAGACTATCTGCGATACCGTCAGTGGCAGTTGGAAGCAATTAACTGGACCTTTAGCCCCATCACAAAATGTTATGTTTAATTTGGACTGCGGCTCGCAATCGATGAGCCACAAGAGCAAAATACAAGCTAAAGGAACAGGGTCAGAGGTGCCGCTGCTTTAAAATGGAGACAGAGCGAGTCTTTTACAAGTTCTGATGTTTTCAGGAGATGTGGCCTGAACACAAAGCTTCAGCTTCATTATTGTAACTAATGTTATTATAACTAATGTGATGTAATCGTGTAAAGCACCACACACATACTCCACCATTCCACCTCACCCGTCCCAGCCCACTGTATCGACCACTCAGAGCTGTCACAGCCCATTCCTGATGACCCATATCAAAGAACAGGCCAGAGCTTCATTGGCCCCAGCCCCTCCCCTGCACTGTGACCTGCTCCATAATCTGCTTTAGAAGATGGGTTATGCTAAGTGGCACTTCCATCACTACGACATTGATTTCACCATTAGCAGTGGGGCATCAATACAGAGTGGAATGAGCCCTAAAAGTAGACAGACGGAGGAAGATACACCTTGATTACCTGATGGGTTTTTGAGCCTTTCAGCTGCACCGGGAGCTTTTAGCTGGTCTGCATTCTTTCCTTTTTGAATAACAAATTTGTTTCAAATGAACTTTTTCTGCCAGCCCCCAACGTGCCTCTCTCTCTCGTCTGATATTCTCTCCATCTTTCTTGCTGACTGCTTTCATTCCCTGCCTTCACACACATTCACCATAATCTCCCTCAGGAGTTCCACTGTAGGTGAAATTTGCAACTTCAAAAGCCGGATCCTCCCCCTTTCTTCGCCCGTGCTCGGCAACAGCCCCCGATTTGTTTTTCATAAACGAAACACCAAGCAGTGCAGCTGGAAAGAGTTTTTTTTTCTCCCCGTCTTGAATCTATTTTCGTTATCGTTTCTAAAGTTTTCGCAGCAGGTCAACAATCACAACAGTTTTGTGAAGGCACAAATCCTTCATTGTGATTAGTGATAATTGTTTGCTGCCTCTTTCACCAGGAACGCGATGTCGGCTTGATCAGCAAACAAGAGAAGTGCTCTTTTGAAACAAATAAAAGGCCTTTTAGGGCTGCTCTTAAATATTTGCTGGGACAACTTTCTTGAAACTTTAAGGAGATAATTAGATTTTACTTTGCAATTAGCTGCGTTCTCATATCGGGAAGCAGGCACCCATAAAGGAGGCCACCAGTTCTCCATGTGCACTTGGAGGCTGAAGTTAATAATCCCCTCCCCTTTTTGGCTGTGATTTAATTGAAATGAAAAGGATGCCTTGCTGGTGGTGCAGAGATGTTGTTCTTAATTTATTTAGTCAGTCTCTTGCCCTTACTACGGTGGGTCATTATCTTGTTTTACCAGCAGTGCCTCTGGTTCTCTCTTTGCAACCAGCATGAGGGAAATGTAAATGATCTTCAGTTTGTGATGTTCCCCGTGTATAAATGTAGCTGTAACATAAAGAGAAAAGCAACTAGGACACTTCATCTGATGTGCTGATAAAGGGGAATCTCCCCTGTGTGCTTTTGTATGTTTTATTAATGTGATTTTGTGTATTTATGGTGTCTGAAACAGACTGTGGCTCAGGAGGGTCAGGCTCAGGAGTGGAGAGCTGCGGGCAAGACCGCTGCCGCATATTTGGAGGCTCGTGGGATGAAGATGCAGAAGAGGACCGATGCGTGTGTGACTTCACCTGCCAAAGTGTGCCTCACAACCCGGTACGGCTGCCTTCAGCAACACTCCATAACCACTCACACAGTCTAATCCCTAAATACGATGCTAATGATGCAATTAGTGTCAAAGTTATGTCTTAGAGTAACAACAAAGTGCAACACACAAACAGACACATGATGTAATGACAGCGTCTCCACAGTTAATCAAGGATAAAAGCAATTTAGGTTAGTAGTTATTGAAAAAAAGTTTATACTTTATTACTACTACTTTATATTTATAAGATTTATAAGATGTTTTAAACCTATATATCCCACAACTGACTCAATAATATTGTATTTACCATTGAAACCATCTTTGAAGCATGATGGGGACCCTGGTGTCAAAAGATCATCAATAAATTCAAGTGACATGTAAGGAAAAGAAAAACAAAAGAAGATGTAAAATTATCCAGACCCTTTCAAATACTATCCAGTTATTTATGACATTCCAGTTAATTTCATTTCTGAAAAACTTATCCTGAAACTAGAAGGTCTATTTCACAATGTTAAAGAAATTGGAGAAAAATATTCCTGGATCTTCTTTCTGATCCTGATTCATTCCACAGTAGTAGTTCCCTCTGTTGTCATGGAGATACGTTTTGATCACATAAAAAATAAAGTGAACTCATTAAATCTGATTGTGAAGACCATAAAATGCTGTTTAATCAGTTTGTGCTTTAACTGTATACAGTACATTTTTATATTTAAACAGACTACTGTTTCCATGCACACAAATTAACTTTCACATTAAAAGTGTGACATGACGTGGATTTAACCGTATGTTGTGCAGAATTCAACTGTTGTGTTTTATTTTGCAGGTTTGTGGCTCAGATGGCAAAAACTACAGCAATGAGTGTGAGCTGAAGAAGGCCAGATGTGAGAAACAAGAGCACTTGTTGATTCAGAATCAGGGACCGTGTGCAGGTCGGTGCATTACACCACTCACAGCTAGTGACATTGCAAAGAAGCACCCTCACCAAGACTCATTGTCATTGACATCACATTTCTCCACTCATTTCATCCACTGATGGGGTAGAAATAGTGTGTAGATGGATGATGATTCTGACAGCACTGCTGTTGTGTGACCACTGTAGCCTGAAGCAAATCAACCAAAAGAAGGTTGTGGTTAAAGAGCCGCTCCTCTGAGGCTGGCCAGTTAAGAATCTCTCTCACAGGCCCATGTGTACAGATAGAAACAATGATGCCTTTTTCCTTGCCAGACATTCTGACAATTTAAACCATTAAACTTGTGCTCACAAGCTTGTTTCCTAACCCTCAGGATACCACTTTACCCCACTTACTTAAAAAAAGAGAGAAAAAACACTCTGTACATGTAAATGAGTGCCATCTATCAGGCAGAATAGTTGTCAGATCTGTGGTTAAGTAGTAAAGGTTCGTTCTTCCTCGCGAGCTTTTGTCTCCGATGCGAGCTCGGGCCGGGGAGCAGAGCAAAAGGCACTTAAGGGATTTTGTGTGATCATCGCGGCTGTTTGATTCCCCGTGGCTCTAAAAGAGAGGAGGATGGAGAAAGTTGAAGAGGGAGTGAGAATGAGCGAGCTGCCAGTGTTTTCACACACATCCCTACAGATTCTTCTTCTTCCTAAGCTGGCCTCCTTGGGCACTGACTGTCACGCTTCTCTACCATCCATGGATAATCAATCCTTTTTTTGAAGAGCCCTCTATGGATACAAGACCTCTGGGCTCTCCTCTCCTATTGGCTAATGGAAAAGAAAGACTCAGATCTTTGGGAAGGGAATTTTACTGCCCTCCACGTTAACTATGTAAGGAGAAACTTTGCTTGACCTCAACTCCGGTAGGAGAGAATCAAAACACGCTACCTCTCACTAGAGGAGCATGAAAGAAACCTTTTTCTTAAGAACTTCTGATTTTGACAAACCTGGAACTGTTTTGCATATGGCGTCAACAGTGTCATCTGCTGCACAAACATTTTTAACGTTCTCTTATGGCACTTCAAACCATTCTTTATAACTGCCTGCAAACTCACTCTGGGCCAGGGATTTCAGTGAAATCCAAATAAATACAGTACTCCTTGCTTTAGTAGACAAGCATATGTGCAGATGTTCCCTCGAAGGAATAAAAAAGTCTAGCTACAGTCACTGCAGCAGAGAAAGCATAGCGGCAGACCCGGAAAACGTGAGGGCAATATTGTACATCACAATGAGCTGCATTGTGCCGGACAATGGCCACTGAAGAGGAAAAACCCTTGAGGGGTGGAAGAACATATGAAATTAAAAGTTCTCCTTGTTCTAATAGGCTCAGTACAGATAACTAAATGGAGCGCAGGAAAGTGGCAAGTTAAATGAACTGTGTCCAAAGACCATCTCTGGAGTAGGAAAAGCTCTGGGGAGAAAAAAAAGAGTGAGCCGAGTCATCAGCATTAGGCTGAGGCTCATATCCACACCAGTAACATTGTGATTTATGGCCCCGGTATCTCCAGCCTCCAAACTCCAATGCTCAAATGAGCAACACAAGAAAAAGAGATCGGGAGGGGAATCGAAAGAGACAGAGGGAAAAAAGACAAGGGGAAGATTTCTGCTTTTCGTCTTTCTGTCTCTGAAACTTCCCTTTTTCACTCCAAAGCCTGGAGAGAACGTGAACAATGATATTTCTTTGCCTCCACCATTAAACAGACGCCTTTATCCTCCCACTGTATGTTCTGTCATTTTCCTCCAATTTCAGAAGAAGTGCCAGGTTTTGGGAACACATTTGTTTTTATTTTGTTGAATGTAGTTTTGTATCCGGAGCTGTCACACTGGTGTGAAGGCTGGCACATCCTTAGACAAAGAAGCTCTCCACACACTGTGCACAGGCAGAAAACTGCTTGGCACATTCCTTCACATTATACAGCATTTATTTATTTAAAGAATAAACTAAAATTCTGGAAGGTTGTAGGGCAGCGGCACAATTCCATAATATTAGACAAGAACAAATGAGAAAGAGAACATGCCTCCTAGTGGGTGGTAAATGTCAGCTTCGGCACATTCACTAGCGACGCCATTGTTTGTTTTCACTGGAGGTAGAAGAATCATTTCTTCCTGATTTTGAGCCATTGTGGGGAAAATAGAATCGTTATCTTGAAGCCGGCTGCCAGCTTCTCCACCTCTGCCCCTCCCTCTGAGCCAAACTCATTGTTGGCAAAAAGTTACATTGCTCTGAAATTGTGTCGTCTAAATCCCACTCAAATGTTGGTGTTCTTCCTCCCTCTCCTTGTGCCAACCCCCCCCCCCCTCTACCTCTCCTTTTCGTTCCTCCCTCATCAGTGATTTCAGCCACATCTCTGCCTGAATTGAAAGTGCCTCAGCACTGCAGTCTGTCTGTGTACGGCTGCTGCTCCGACAACATGACGGCTGCCTCAGGAGTCGGACTGGCTGGATGTCCCAGTAAGTCCTCTTTCAAGTCCCGCTTTTGACCCTCTGATGTGCACCGAGTTCTGTTGGCACTTGCGCTCGCCATAGGGGAAAAAAACGTAGATACTATCAGGCTGTTTCAGCATACAGGCCTTATTGTCCTTGACTGTTACACTTGCAAAGTTGCAGAGCAGAAAATGTTTCATCTTAATCCAAGGAATAATTATGATAATCTCACACTGTATCAACAGAAAAATCTCTTTATCTGATGATCTTGACGAATGATAGATGGAGGTGAAAATTCTGCATTTAGCTGTTAGTGAGGGAATACAGTATGGATGGAGAAAATTCAGATACATGAAGATGGACATACAGAGATTTAGTAAAGAGGAAAGTCACCTAAGCACATTTTATCTGAAAGCTTTTTTTTCTGGAATAATTCTTGGCCAAAGTATAAATGTATAATTCTTAAATACAGATTATCTAACATAGTAAACACTAGTCAGCTGAGTCTGTTAAAGTCAGAATAAACCAGTAGACGCTGAAAGTGACATTCATTTTTCTCCTCAGGTACCTGTCAGTGTAACGTGTATGGCTCCTACAAGGGCACATGTGACCCAGCCACCGCACAGTGTTCCTGTAAGCCAGGTGTTGGGGGACAGAAGTGTGACCGATGCGAGCCGGGCTTCTGGAACTTTCGTGGCATTGTCACGGAGAACATGAGCGGCTGCACGCGTAAGCAATCGTCTCTTTGCGTCTGTGCTGACTGAGCATCTGTACATTGTTGTACCATTACACCACTTCAAGAGAGGGAGCAGTCAGTTGGTAGAGGGTCAAAGGTTAATGGTTTTCGGGTATGACCTCAGAAGTCAGTGTTATCCATGTAGTCCACAATCATAAATCAAATGTCAGGAGGTTTTACAGACAAACAGAGCTACAACATGAAGTTAATTAGTATTCATCCATCCAGCCATTTTCTATACTGCTTGTCTTTTGAGGGTGGATGGGGATACTGGATGAGAGGAGAGGTGGGGCACAACCTGGACAGGTCACCAGCATGTCACAGGGCCAACATACAGAGACAACCAACCATTTACAGTCATATTTACACCTACGGACAATGTTAAGTCTCTAGTTAACCTAGCCCCAATCTACATGTCTAAGAGAAACCCATACAATCATGAGGAGAGCATGCAAACTCACAAAGAAGGGTGCCGGCCAAACTGGGATTTGAACTGAGAAACCATTGTACCACTGTGCCACCCTACAAACAAACAAATCTAATATTAAGTTCAAAATATTGTGTATCGTAAAGTACAAGCACATGGTATAAAATACATGTGCACTGTAAATGTTATCAACAAGAGTTTCGTTCAATTTAATTAAGTAGGTCATCAACTAATTTATTTTCATTAAAAAAATAGCAGCCAATAATGTCACAGTTACTCCACTGATCTCTCTGATATTATATTATTATTATATTGAAACTAGTTTTTTGCACAAAGACAGAAATTGCCTTTTTAATCCTTACCCACAGTGTAGTGGGATGGATCCAAAAAGCATTTGACACACACATATTAAAACCTGGACCTGGTTAGTGAATTATCCACAGTGATGCTCAAGAAAACAAATCCTAATGTAAAAATGAATTTCTCACTAAATTCATGACAATGCCTTGGAGCCTAAGTGTTCAAGATTAAGATTAATATCTGTGAAGTGTTAGACAGTAAAAAACTACAATACCAAGCAGCTAAACTACAATTTAATAGTGGCTTATATGCCCTTCAGTCATGTCATAACTGTACTGAATGGTCTGTATTCATTTGTATTCGAGTGAACACTCGGGTCATTGACCCTTGTTTGTCTTGCGTAATGCAATACGGTGACCAGCTCGTACCCTGCCGCTGAGGTATCATAGGACATTCGCTTCCAAAGCCGCAGGGTATTTTCAGTCAGCAGCGGGGAGCCTGCAGGTGCCTCACCCATGGCCTGACCTTAACAAGGTTTACACACACACACTCACACAACAACACAGCAGACAGCACACCAAAACCAGCATCAGCTTGAGAGCAGAAAAACAACACACATCATTGATTCTATGATGGGGTCGATGTCCTTCCCTATGGTTGTTTTCTGGAGTTTCTGTTACATATTCCTCCTCCTCCTCTCTCAGTTTCTCCTAAGGCTGGATGAACTGTTTCTAACCCTTGACTCTCAGACACCAATGTAACTTGGTTCACAGGCTTAGGTCACCTCAAACTCATTTTAAATGTAATAATTCCTCTTTCTGTCACCGTCCCGAATTGCTGCTTTTTTTTTCCTCATCAATTTCTCTCCCCCTTTTTGCCTCTTTCTCTCCACGGCAGCATGTAACTGCGACGCCACAGGCTCGGTCCGGGACGACTGTGAGCAGATGTCAGGTCTGTGTTCCTGCAAGACGGGAGTGAAAGGCATGAAGTGCAACGTGTGTCCAGATGGAAGCAAGATGGGCATGAACGGCTGCGACAAAGGTAATAAGAGAGCGTGCCGAAGCAACCAGTGAAGCGTTAATAAACCACACACACATACTCACACGCATATCCAGACACACACTTCTTAAGTGTTCCTCTGTCACTCGCCTGATCCATGGATCAGCCTTGCAGCTCCCAGGTCTCTGTCTGCACTTCACATCCATCTGGTTTATCGGCAGAGGAAGGATTGGCTCCAGGGTGGTTAATCAATACTGATTAGGGAAAATACTTGAGTGTATAACTGACAGATGAAATGTCACCCATTGGTATTTAACTTTCTTTACATCATCTTCCATTTTGGACCGTTCACTTGAATGTGGATGTTTGTACTCCTGCTTTAGGACGATTGATTATGCTTGGATTAATAATTAAAACCGCTCCGGTGGTTGCACAAGCAAAAATCAAGTCGAAGCAAAGTTGAGCTCATGCTGTGGGAGCCTGTTGCTCCTTGATTAAGATGCACTATCAGATATCGACAGGAAGTCAAACGCTTAATGAAGCCAGCAATCCTGGCACAGTGGTGGGGCACTGTGCCACACACCCTGCCAGATGAAAAGGTGGTGGCACATGAAAGCAGGAGCAGAGGGGTGGGGGGTACTCTAAGCCTCTTTAATGTTGCAACAATGCAAACACCCCACGCTCACAGTTGGCCAGTGGATGGCTGGTTCCCCAGCTCCGACTCCTGCGGTGGCAACTTCCAAGGCTTCAATACATCAAAGGCAAAATATCCTGAGTGCACACCTTTACACAAAACGAAACATTACTCATATTTTCTACCTCTGCAAAAGAGTTTAGGGAAAATGCTGTGGTCTATGAAACTAGGTGTAAGTCACACTGTGTGACAGAAAGGTAACTAGACTATTTTATGATTATATTACCACTGCTGTACTGTGGTGGCAAAGAAAATCACCAAAAGTAGTGAAATACAGATTTTCAGCCTGTCCCCATCTCTTTCACACAGTTCAAACTCAACCATGATTAAGGTTCTGGTTTTCCGTTAGGCCAGGTCAATGTTGTCTGTAATGAGGATTATTCTCTACATGCAAATAAACTCTTTTTGTTTTGACACCAAACCACCTTTACACGTGCTAACATCATGCTGAATCTATTTAAAGATGAACAACACGTCTCCACTTCCTACTATCCAGAAATGAACCCAAAATATCCCAGATATGAACGCTGATTACGTCGTTTGGAGCTACAGGCTGCTAATTAGTGATCTGGAGATAGAGCCCGGCTATCCAATTCCCGCCATCAGTGTCAGCTGTTAAACATGACGTTCATCCTGTGTATAAAGCATCAAAAAACGAATTAAAACCAAACTCACCTGAAAAAGAACCGCTGAAAATGATGGAAACCATCTTTGATTAAAATTTATTTGAAACATTGACTTGTTAATTTGGTCCATGTCACATCAACTAACATGAAGGAGGCGGAATTCATGACCTATACTGAATCCAGCTACCAGGGGGCAAAATTGCAAACTCCATGCTGTAGATTGGAGGGAGGAGCACATGTTGTATCAGGGGTAGGGCAAAATCAGAAATCTTTAGTGTGACATTCTACAAAAAGTGGAAAAATTGCAGATGCATTGGTAAAATGCTGTGTATATGAATTCTTTGAGGACTCAGAAAAAAGATTCATATTTTTGTATGATTACATTCACATTTCATCATGCTGCACAGATTTTAAAAACCAATCTAATGGCTGTTTATAGGCAGAACTTTAGCTCGCTTAATAAAAGTGAGCAAGAGTCATGTAATTTTAAGACATTAAATCTGCAGGCAAATTTCACTTTTATTTAGGCCCACACTTTCACACAGCTGCTAAAGTCAGAATTCATAAAGTAGCTACTCTGCACTGCTGTAAACTGTTTGAATATTCAATTCAATTCAATCCAATTTTATTTGTATAGCACCAAATCATAATATAAATTATCTCAAGGCACTTTACATAGAAGGTCAAGACCTTAAAATCGTATTAATATATAGAAACCCAACAGTTTCCACCAACCGTATGGAGGTGTAATATGGAGGAGAATATGGAGGTGCAACAACACCAACTCATTTCCTCTGCAGGTCCTGAGGCTCCGACTTCATGTGAAGAGCTGGTGTGCAGCTTCGGAGCTTCTTGCATTGAAGAGAATGGCCAAGCCCACTGCGAGTGCCCTTCACCTGACTGCGACGAGAAAAACAAAACCAAGGTGGGAACCGTGTGAAGAAACAAGTAGTTTGATCCACAAGTTTGCACTACGACATACATAGAGGGACTTTGTTTGGCTGGCCGACATGTGTTCTGAACTCCCCTCTCTCCATCTCTGTCACCGTGAGCAGGTGTGCGGCTCAGATGGAGTGACCTATGCCGACCAGTGCCAGCTGAGGACCATAGCCTGCAGACAGGACAAGGACATCACAGTACAACACTTCGGACAGTGCACAGGTGAGCCCCATCCATACCCCCATGCATCACACCTCGAACAGACGGCCAACTGTTGTCAAGCCCCCCCCCCTGTTCAAAAGATAATGAGCAGCACTGTGGACCTCAAATTATTTCTCTCCTGCTGTTTCTTGTCCTATCCATCTCTCCGTGTCTGTCCCAGAAAGTAAAGACACAGCAAAGTGAAAGAACATTTAGCTTGAATTAATCGCTTCCTTCTGCAAGAAATTACCTGCACATAACAGCAGTTTGAGCAGTGATTCTAATCAGAGATTAGGCAAATCCAAGTATTTTTCATCGCAAATGACACATTTCTGATTAGTGGATAAGCTCAAAGTCACATGTAAGAAGTCATTGTGTATTCAAGTTCCCTGCTGAGAATTTTGCTTTTCATAGTTTCTAAATCTGCAGTTTCTTAATCTCTGTGATTAACATTATCAAATAGGAAATATTTAGCTGATTTCATTGCATGGAGTGTAGTGAAGTAAGCCCCGTCTTCCTCTCGTGAATGGTTGGTTGACAGCAACATCATGTGCGAAACAGGGGAAACATTAGAACAAGAAAGCGTAAGATACTGTAGCATTTCAAATCCAGGCGTTCTGCAGTTTGACTGGAGCTTGAGTTTTGCAATCCCAGTAGATAACAGTGACACTTCCTCTTTGCTTTGTCGCACCTCTGTTGGGATTTGGCTTCATCTTCACACACCCCCTGTCAGCAAATGCGTGGTTCCCCTCGCAGTATTATTCTGGCAGAAGCTCAATGCTATTTCAGCGTGACGGTGGATGTAGAGCACATGTGTACCGATTAAAAGGTGCAGCTCTCGCACCTTCGTCCAGATGCCGTTGGACATTGTTTGGATCAGTGTAAGAGGAGCTCTGACATGTGCCAGGGGCACGGCTTTCGTGTAGAGCGAAGTTGTTTCGTGCCGTCTGCCAGCTTGCGTCACAACAGGGTCCTAGAGATGCCGCCGGCGAGCAGGGCGAAAGGAGGGGAGTGCCAGCTGTGTGGCTCTGGACACAATCCACTGCCAGGTGTCTCACATTTTCAGTTGTTAAAATGTTCATTCACTTCATCGCTCAGTGGGCATAGATCAAGTGACCAAATACTTTTGTCATGAAAAAAGCAGACTCCCTGTCGTTCAACACTCTTCAAACCCAAGCTATGCCACATTCGTGGCCATCGATTGATGTTGAATTGCAGTTGCAGGTACGCAAATTTTAAAAAAGAACTATGCTCAGCGAGAGATCAACAAGGCTTTGATAAGTCCCCGAACATCTGGTTATTAGAAATTCACTGCCGTGGGTTACCAGCAAAAGGTGCCAAAATCCAGTGTTGTTTCACATTCCTCTGTTGCCTGGCAATAGGGATGTGGGTTGTATGTAATCCCTCGCCCAACATTGCAGCTCAGAGAAGGCAAGAAGACATTTTCTCTATCGAGCTCTCGGGGGAGGAAGAGACAGGCGAGCACTCGGGACCACCGACAGCCACAGAGGATCTTTTAATTTTTTACTCCCGGACACGGTTGCACCGCGGGTAGCTGCTCCGCCGCTGCTGTCGGCTCGGGGGTTAGATCTCGAGCTCATTTCACGTGTGGCTGGGTGCGAATTAGCATTTGCTCTGCCTCCACCCCTCGCCACTCTGCAGCCCTGCTCGCCCTCCCTCCCACTGCTTACATGCAGCGCTTCCAGACGCCCAGCCTCAGCGCTGTGGCATGCTAATGCTCAGCAAGCTGCTATATAGTTTGAAAAGAAAGCAATGCCAAGGGCTTAATGTGTGAATATTGATCTTTTTTTTTTTTTACATCATTGGTTCCTCACAAGTTTTTATTATTCCGCAGAGTGTGACTACTGCTGGGCAGCTGGTGACAACATTTATTTGTGGGGGGCGCAGTGTTGGGGGGAACAAACAAACTGAAGCCATACTCAACAAAAAAACAACACAACACTCAATATGTCAATCCTGTAGCCTTCATCGACCTGCTGAGTAAAATTGAAACTTCATTGTATTGTCTAAATGACTGTGGGAACTTTCATGCTTTTTAGTCTCGCACCCACGTCATTGTCCGCAGTACCTCTGTGCCAACGCTTTGAAACAGCTAACAGGGGAAGCACATTCCTTACACCACATCCAGTTAGTCAACTCTGTTTCTCATAACAAGAGCAGAAGAACCCCCGGGTGTAAGCTCGTCCACACTATGTGCCAGCGGCTTAATCTGTAAATCAGGTTAGTCCGGACCAAGCCCCCGTTATTTTCTCGATTGAACGGTTTGTAAAATGGTGTTTATGTAAAGAAATGACTGGATTTGCCATAGTTCCACTTGAAGTCTTCATAATGACAGCAGTACTTGAGATGGTGTCAAGGGTCGACCAATCACATTAGATTTTTATAAAAATCAATACCAACCAATTAGTTATAAATAAAACAGGGAGCTCTCTGTGGCCCGTGTTACATTTGCAACAACCAGTGGAAGAGCAGCCTCAGGTCACATGGTTGAAAAAAAGTTTAAGGACTTACATTCACTCTTATTTGGCCCACACCAGGAAGTATTTAGACATAAATGAACCAAATACAATTTGAAAACTATTTCAATTGAATGCTCACACGGTCTACCAGGCATATTGTACAAGTAAACTATTATTTTCTAATTAAAGAATGTTTAACATGTTTAAATAGGCTTTTTTTTCTCAGGATGTTGGAGAGGCTGCACCCTGTATTAACAAGCAACCACTGCTGCACAGCCTGCCACTAATGGGCGTGCTAAGTTAAAAAAAAATCACCTTCAAGTCTTTCTGTGACAGAGAACTTGCAGCTAGTTCTGATGTTACCCAGCTCTCTGAAGTCTCTGAGCTGAGTGTAGGGAGGAGTTTTTCTGGCTTCTTTGCTGCGTCTCAGCAAAAGATGAAGCGATATCTGAGACACTCAGCTCTAAAAGGGAAAAAAAGCAAGAGCTACTGTACCAAGCACCAGAGGGAGGGCATTTGGGCCAGTGAGCAAATTCTAGCACCATGGGGGAAATGACCACCAAGTTGGCAAAGACCTGCCTCCCTCCATATGGTGTTATCACCTGTAGGTTTGCGGCAAATTGGCAACGAGTGTCAGCATATGGCACCAGCAGCCCCTCCGCCTGTGTGTGTTGGTCAGGGTTCTGCTGCCTTCACCGTTTCTTCTCCATGTCATTTTCTCCCGATCCCTCAGTCATTTTACCCAGCCTGTAGTCTTCCACTGCAGACTTTGTTAACCTATTTCTTTTTCTTTTTGATTTAATCCCTTTTCTTGAGAGAGTTTGTTCCTATCATTTTCTTCCTCTTGCCTCTGTGGTTCCATTGTCTTTCTGCTCCGGTCTCCTGTTTCCCCTTTCCTCCTCCTCACTGAGCTTGGCTGACACCAGAAACAATCTTAATAAGCACCTTTCAACGATAACCACACGGCTGGGACAGGCCAAGAAGACAGTGATTTTGTTCTTCCCGCCCTGTGACATGACCGTCCGTTAAAATAAAACACAGGCAAATGGACTGTTAAACGTAATTAAGAGAAGCATCAGCTGAACAGACTGTGCTGCTCGTTGTTCTTTTCTTTACTTATGTGCACGCACAGCCCAAACACACATCAGACACTTTCCATGGAGTGAGCAGCCTGACGCTAAGCTTGCCACCTGACTGACAGGTGTAGCCATGAGGAAAGGCGACGCATGCCACCCTTTCTCGGCGATAGCATCACAGTTCTTTGCTCTCCACTCCAAATCTCTCTTTCCACAAAGATCTGCTGAGCTTTAAGCTGACACCCCGTGTGTCTCCCAGGCTTTCTGCCGTCTCAGTAGGTATCACATTTCACACTTCGGTGAATAATTGCAGATCAAATAGGCGATTATAGTAGTGTAATTAAGGCCTACACATAATGTTAGGTAAATCCTAATGAAGCGAAAATCTATGGTATAGGGTTTGTTTTTAATCTTCTTTTCATTTCACTCGCATGCTAACACATATTTATATTCCTGGGATATGAAGAAGTAAAGGGGGAATGGCGGTATCGTCACGCCTGCGTGCCTCGGCTGAATCTGAAGGACTTACTTACGTAGTATCTCCCTGCCAACTCACTTCTCCCCCTTAGGAGTTTTTGTCCTATTTATCGTTCTTTTATCGCAGACAGTTTGTCCTTTTGCACCAGAGCTTTTTGCATTGGTAATGATGGTCTCTGCAGAGAGCCTCTCCCTTATTTGGAGGGATTCTTTTTCTTTTTTTTTTGAAGTGTGTGTGTCTGTGTGCATCTGTTGACAGCGGAGTGTTTGTGGTGGAGTTGACGGATGCTCATGCTCTCTGCAAGCAGCAGCCTGCCTTCTTTGAAGCCAGAGTTAAAGCCTGCTTTTTTGCCCCATTTCTATCAATCATTCATCACCGGAGGCACTGGCTGTTAGTGATTAAAGCTTTACTACTGGAGGGCAGCATTTGAATATGTATATATAATTCATAGGCATTGGCACAGCATGTATGCAGAACACAAACACGGACATACACACAAATGCATTCCATATGTGTTCACACATAACGCCACATACTTTGCATTGACACTGGAGTAGTTCACCCTGTTTGGGCAACATAACTCATCTCAAGCTGGAACACACTTCATTGCATATTACTCTGATTGCATGATGTCATCTGTTGGTATGTCCCATAACCACTCTGTACATGAATGAACTTTCATTCCTCAGGGTTTTTCAAGTAAAGCTTCCAGACATCTCATCCATTACAGGGTTTTAATTAGAGTCTGTGTTTATAAATAACAGACTGCAAATGTGTCTTATTTTTTAATGTAATTTCATAATGACATTGTTGTGCATCAGGAAGAAGGGTAAGAGGATATTCATTCATATTCATTCAGACAACTCAGAGTAAAGATGTGGTCAACACTACGATGTAATGATCATCAAGAGGCTTTGATGTGGTTTATAGGCTAAAATCAAACATTTCCATCTTTGCTCCGTCATTCATCCATTCCTTCCTTCCTGCCCTTCCCTCCACCAGAAACCATCTCCGAGCTGGCAGAGCGACCTACCCCCAACCCCCTCACCACCACCCCCAGCTCCACCGCCGCCGTCTCCATCACCACCGCAGCCCCCTTCCCCACCAACATGGTGTGGGCCATCCCACCACCGAGGACAGCCGAGACAGAGACCACCCAGCGGCCCCCGGTCACCTCCCCCTTTTCCACTCCCATCCACAACCACGTGCAAGTAAACCAACACATCCACATCCACATCCAGCCGCCTCGGTCAACCGCCGCCTCCACCACCTCATCCCGCAGTGGCCCCGTTCCCTCCGCTGCAGTGTCCTCCTTCGAGGGCTCAGGCAGCGGGGACCCAAGCGGGGACGACCAGGTTGAAGAAGAAGACGAGCAGGAACTGGGTAGCGGCATCCCAACAGAGGCCAGTGGGGCAGAGGAGACTGTCGGTAAATCCCTGCTCTTTCACTTCATTATCCACAATGCTTTGGGTGTTTGAGGGGAGGGGGGTGAGACAAACTCACACGTCTCTTAGCCGACATCATAACACATTCATGCCATCATCTGTTGATTGAGAGTTACACAGAAATCAGCTCAGTCTTATGTATTTATGTATTCTCCACATTCTCCCTCCTGGCTGTAACAGCTGGGAGAGAGAAAAAAGCCAGGCTGGTAAATCTAAGTAAACAGATGCTGTTAGTGTCATTTCATCTTGCATAAGATGTATATCTCAATTTCAGTGAGAAAGGAATGTATTTGCAAGGTTTTGTGTTGAAACATCACCCATGCTCTTTTCTTCCATTCCACCAGTGCTTGCTCTCAGCAGCTTGCAAAACAAACGCAGGTTCTGTAAAATACACTCTGTGCAGGCCAAATGAGACTGTTGGCCCACATCTGGGGATCGCTGGAGTCCAACTTGACAGGCTGATGCGACTGAGAGGTGTGAGTGTGTGTGTGTGGAGGCTGTGTACCTTGTCACATGACCAGGCTCAAATCTATCTCGACATGCCCTCCTGACTGTGACAGCCAGCTGCGGTTTGTAGGCCTGTGCTTGGACAACAAGGGATGACTGAGACTTTTCAATCACAACTTTTTTTTTTTTCCTGTTGTTTTTCATCTACCCATCCACCTTGGCTGACAGCTCGCCATAACAGGATAGGATTGATGGAACAGCATGACCCCATTGCGCTCTTCCTCAACTCTTCCTCTTCCTCATCCCCTCTCACTCCTCCCAGAGTCAGAGATTTATTCTCTTGTCAGATGCTGACCCGAGTGCTCGGTGACGCGAGGAGCATGTCGTCCGTCTGCCAAGCAGACCCAGTGTCTTGTGGCTCTGTGTGTGTGTTTGTGTGTTTGTGTGTGACTGACTTAATTTGTAACCCCCGAGCATGCTTGGGTACATGTTTCTATATAAATACATGTTTATGTTTGTACATTTATATGAAGATTTATAGACGGTATAGATTTCAACAGAGAGAACATAAAAATGTTGTTTCTGTGCCCTATTTGTGTATTTTATACAGTGTGTCGGTCCAAGTCTTATCTTTGTTCTGTGTGTGTGTGTGTGTGTGTGTCTTTTACCCTTATCTCCCTTTCCATTTGTCACTCAGTTTGACCAATTCCGAGTGCACATATCACTGTCTGACTATATAAATGTGAGCAGGTCAGAGGTGGGTGGTTTTACATTTTGTATCCATGCTCTGTTGAAATCTGCTCTCCTCATGCATCATCAGCTGTACGTGTTGGTGTGTGTGTATCTGTGAGTGTGTTTGTGTGTTTATTTGAAAGCCCCTCATGGCTCCCAATGGAGTCGTGCAGCGTCCCCACGGCTGCTGCCCTCTCTCTCACTGCCGGCACTCTCCCCTTCAGCCCAGCATTTGTAAATCTGTGGACCACATGCCAACAGATGCCCTATAAACCACCCCCATCCCTCCTCCCTCCTCTCGCATCCTTTGACCGCGAGTCCTTGAGCGGGACGTCCCCTTGCCTCTGACGTCTTTACGACTTGTTTAGCCGCTAGCTGTTTGCCTCCGCAATTATTTCTAATCTCAGTGTGGCCATAAACTGTGCTGCTTCGACCAAGACACCGCCTCCGCCAGCACCGCCATTAGAGAGTACATAGGTTTGGTCTGCTGCTGTTACACAGTCATTCTTCAGAGAGAAAGGCCAGCCACTTTTATGTCCCAAGATAGCCAGATATACAGTGTCTGTAACACAAACGACTGTATGTTTTTTTTCCCCTCTTGGTGAACCTTGAAGGTAACTGTCAGCCAACCAATCAGCAAGGAACGGTTACTACCCACACCACCCCCCACCCATTTATCGTGCTCTGTGAGCAACATGACTGGCAACAGTGGTCATTATGTGCTCTCTGCCGGACAAAATGAGTTCCAGGTGTAAAATCAGTTCCCATGAAAATGCCATACAATCACTCCTGACAATGCCTCTATTATATCAGTGCTCAGCAGACTGAAAACACAAAACCATCTGCAAGAACAAGTTCAGAAAGGAAGTTGTAGATTTTAACCTGAGAAACACTACCTGTCCTCAGCACCTCAACAGTGGTCACTGAATGCATACAGCTCCTGCAGCATAACTCAACGTCCGTAGTCAACAGTAGTTCTCCCCTTGTTTTCTTAGATACGCTGCTTTCAAATGTTGCGTTCATGCATTATAATGAGCCCCCTCTTTATCACCTCCAGGTCCCACATTGGCGAGCACAACTGTACCCACAGCTGAAGACAGATCGTCCTGCGACAACACCGAGTTCGGCTGCTGTCCTGATGGCAAGACGCCATCCAACACTCCAGAGGGCACAAACTGCCCCTGTAAGTCAATACCCTTCCAGACCCTTCAGAAATTCCCTTCTTACCCTGTTGTCCCCCCTGTGTCTCCTGTCTGTTGATACTCTGTGATAACATATGATAAAAGAGCAGAAATCCTGACATCATTTCCACACTAGCTTCTCTGACTCAATGCAGCGAGTCAGAGGAGCGTTAATCTCCACTGAGTCAATGGTCTTTTTGAGAAAGAGAAATATGTTCCTGGGTTTCACCATCCATCTTCAAAGATACAGCAAAACAGTATCTACTACAGCTCCAGCGATTAGCCAGCGTTAACGTCTGGACCCTTTGTGATTTTACCGAATTCAAACAACAAATAATTTGTCAACTTTCAAGAAACAACAGCATTGAAGGAATAGTTCACCACTGTAGGAAGTCAGTGTTAAGTATCACATGCAAGTGCAGAACTAATTATAATAGAGTGGCACAGCACAGAGTGTTTGTCTATTTCTCATCTACATTACTCTTCTCCACTCTCCATTTTTTAAACTTAATTTATAAACTGAATATCTTGATATATTAAGAATCATCATGTTTACTTTGGGATTAGTGATATTGTGCCATCTGCCTCCAACAACCAGATGAACAGGTGTTTTATTTTTTCTGCAGCAGTGCTTTCATTAATCACCTCCCTCATATGTAAATGATCATATTGGTGAGTGGAAGAAAAAAAATACACAGTGAACCATTAAGTCTGACATAAGTATTTGTGTTTATGGATTTGACAACACCTCACAGTGTGACTCTGATATTAGTCATACTCTGCCAAACTTAAAGCACATTTTCATTCCTCCGGTTATTCTCAGGAATTTTGAATGAAGTTTGGTTTTATACAGGATCGAGGAGCCTTTCTCTTTAAGAGGGCCTTTTCAATTTTCTGTCCTTTGTGAGCCATAAACTAAATTTAGGTAACACGGATATCCCAAATATGTTATGGTTCCAGCTGTTTCCCTTTGGAGTTTGATGTCAGATGGAAGTGATAATGATTGTGCTACTCACAGCTGGTTTTAGCCAAAACAACCTGCTCTTACAAACCTTTAGTGCCACACATGGTTTGCAGAGACAGTAATACCTCCGTCGTATTAACCTCGGCAGAGATCCCAGGCAAAAAATCTCAAATTCATCACAGGCTCGAGAGACAATGTGGAAATTTCTTGCTGTGGTAACCAATATTTATTGTGTTGAGCCAATCTACTATGCAATGGTTCTTCAAAACAAAACACAAAAACTTCAGAACAATTTTATGTTGCCTTTCTATAGCAGCTCCTCCATACATTTTCTGTCTGAATGAGCTTCCGCAAAACTTGAACACTGCCTCTGTAAAAATGTACCTATGTGAATTCTGCTTGTTGGGCATCCAAACTCAGCCAAAGAAAATTTACTTTTTCCAAAAACATTTTTCCCAGCAACCATCCAGTTAAGCTGCATGTTTCGATCACTGTGAATGCATTGCAGACTCTGAGGCTGTAGGTTCCCCAGTCCTAGTTTGATACAAGACTTAACATCATATTTTGGGGGCCCTGTTCTTTGATTTGTAAATAACCATCCATGTTTCTATTCCTGCTTTTTTTCTATCTTACTTCACCTTCTGTCCTTTTCTTCTAATCTCCCACCTCTTTTTCTACTGAGCCATTCTCTTTATCAGTCAGCGCCACCGTTAGCTATCTCCCTCTTGAGCTATGTCTCAGTCCTGTTCTCTCCCCTCCACCAAGTCAGCCTCAATCCAGTCTTGCATCAGTTCATTTCTCTCTGGAGTTGAGAAGGAAGAGAGTTGAGAGACTACCAGAGGCCGACAAGTGCTGGTGTACCAATCAGTGCCTTCTGCCAGACTCGGTTCATAAAGATAAAGGGCTTTTTTTCTCTCCGCTGCCTCTCTGTCTCTCTTTCCCGCCATTCCTCTGTTAAAATCTGCTCTCTGTTTGTCCCAGCAGTGTTAGTCAGACTGATTGTGAAAGGAGGGATTCTCTCCAACTCCCATGGGAGCCCTAGGTCATGACTTGAAAGAGCTGCGCAGAGTTGCTTTTCTGGCATGAATGTCCCATCACCTCCCAATAAACCAGCATATTTCACTGCCACAGCACGATCTGAAGTATGAGGCCAACTCTGGCCTTCCACAAACCTCTGCTGTTCAGTTCTTCCACAAAATGTATGGGAAACAGAGGTGAAACATGGGGCGCCATATCACTTAAGGTTGGATTTGATGGCATTTTGCCCCAAATCCAAAGAACAAAAGACACAGATTTTAGCTGTAAGACAACAGTTGTAACAAATCCCCTAAAGCCTGTAAATATTTATCTCAGGCAACAATGACGGCACACCAGCGATCAATACTTCATTCAGCTCAAGTGTTGCCAATAAAAGCAGGCAGCGCTATAGGCAGATCAATACACCGGATCTTTTTTCTCCTGAGACGGGCTTAGCCAATCCCCTTCTCATTAGAAGTGAAACGACACGTCCTTCATACTAGAATATCCACTGGCCACCATCTCACTGTAGCGTCCAATTTATCAGCATGCGGCTGGTTGTCTCACAATGAAAAGAACTAATTGTTCACAGTTCCAGTCTTCTCATTTTATTGAGACATTAAATGGTGAAAAGCCTCAGGGGTGAGTTTAGGCCACATGTTCACACACTCAAGGAGAAATACAATGAAACCTTTTTTCTATTTAGTAAAGTAAACCCTCTGACACCAGATGTCCGACCATGGTTAATTCAACTCAATTCAACTTTAGTTGTACAGCGCCAAATCACAACATACATTACCTCAAGGCAATTTACATTGTGTTATGTTAAGGTCAAGACCTTACAATATTACTAAGAAGCCCAACAGTTTCCACAACAAGCATGTAGAGAAAAAAACACTCTTTTAACAGGAAGAAACCTCTTAGCAGAACCGGACCCAGTGTGGGTGGCCGTGTTTTCACCGGTTGGGGTGAGAGGAGAAAAATGGTGGAGAGACGAGAGGTTGGTGGAAAAGAGGAGATATGATATTTAAGCTTGGTTGTTATGATGAAAATAATAAGAGTGATATTTATGGTTGTGATGATGTTATTAATGACAGAAGCCAATATTAAGTGAATAGGTCCCAGTACAAAACCATGTAGAACTCCATGACTAACATTAACAAATTGCAAGCTATCTGATAAGTACGACTTTAACAAGCCAGTGTGGTTCCTCTAATCCCTACATGTTGTTCCAGTCTCTAACAGAATTTCATAATCTATCTTTTAACTGTGATGCTTCTGGGCTGTGATGGATTCTGTGAAAGTCTTCACATCGACCGTTCCTGTGAAAATAATTCCATAACATGTTAGCAACAGCCTATTCAAGGATTTTAGAAGAGGTGCATTAAAGAGTTTGTATACTTAATTCTCAAGAATGTATTCTTATTACTAACCTGTAGTAATAGCAATGGAGAGTTTTGGGTTTATTTACATGGATATTGAGAAATCTTCCTCTGAGAACTCTGCTCCTTAATGCATCACTGTAGGCCGTCCATATAACATTTAAACAGGGCAATATGACATCATCGATAATGGCTAGCAAATGCTCATGTGAGAGTTAATGGCACACTAAGGGAAGTCTAACAAATCCATTATAATTTCCAGTTCAGTAGAATCTGATAGTCAAATGGCTCTGTCCCTCTTTTATCACTCTCTCTCTGTCTCTCTTTATGTCCGTCACGGCACTGGGCCAGAAAATCACTCTCTCTGATGTTTGTCTTCTTTGCAGATTAAAAGTCAAATCTCCCCCGCCGCCACCTCTTTTTTTTTTCTTCCCCCCTTCGTCTTATCGGCCAAACCCCGGCCGTTTGCCTCTATTTTATGGCTGCCATCACATCTGAATCGATGTGTGCAGCCCGTGAAAGGAAAGACGAGTGGGGACAGAGGGAAAGGCGGGTGTGGCGGGTGTGGCGGGTGTGTGTGTGTTTGTGTGTGTGTGTGTGTGTGTCTGCGGTGACTGCTGTCCGTTTCATGCAATTTTAACCAGGCTGTGTCAGTCACCGGTCTGGTGGCATTAAGGAGACAATTACGGCTATCTTTCATGATAATCATACAAGTGCTCTTCCCATTCTCCCTGGTGTTGCTCAGGCAGGGGCAGCCGTGATTGATTTGGGCAATTTGTTCTGCTGATTACGAGCAGCGTGGAAGCCCGGCATCAGTGCCTCGCATGCTCTTCTGTTCTTACCTCACCTCACACACCCACACACACACATACACGGACGCGCACGCACACCAATCCCCTCCACTTTCAGCTTTATTTCAAGTCCTCTCCTCTGGCGGCAGTACGAGGAAACTGTATAAAGAGTTGATAGATGGTGGACAACACAACCCCCAAGGTCGTACTGGGAGGCATTCTATTTGCTGAAGAAGGCACTTTTCAGAATGGCTTAGGGCTGTTTTTCCTCTTTAGTGTGTGTGTGTGTGTGTGTGTGTGTGTGTGTGTGTGTGTGTGTGCGTGCGTGCGTGCGTGCGTGCGTGCGTGCGTGCGTGCGTGCGTGTGTGTGGTGTGTGTGTGTGTGTGTGTTGATTTTATTTCATGTATTTGTGTGTCTGTCTAACTTGTTGTCTTTTTACCCAGCCCTCCATGCCCCGGCCAGCTTTTGGGACACGTCTCCGTCTGGTAAAACTGGCCCATTTTCCCCACCTCTCCTTCCTTCTATGTTCCTTCCTTCCTTCTCCCATACCTCACAGTCCATCTTTTCCACCACCTCAACCTCCGCTATGTTCACCTACAACGGCCAAACTCCAACTTTCTAAACCCCAACACAATCAGCAACACACTCACTCCACCTCCTCTTGTCACACAAAAACAAACACGCAATCCATCACTAACCCAAAACTGGCACTACCCCAAAACTGGGCACCGTGTGAAGGCAGTGGGATCTGAGTGTGTAGATAGAATGAGTGATAGAAGAAGGTTTGAGCTCTTGTGTTTCAGTATCACATCTTTCCCTCGTCTCCTCTCCTTCCAGCCACCATGAGGTTCAGTGGCTTCCTGCACCTGGACCGGGTGGAGGGCCAAGAGATTTTCTACACCCCAGAGATGGAGGACCCCAAGTCGGAGTTGTTTGGAGAGACGGCCCGCAGCATAGAAAGCGCTGTAAGTGCTCTGAATACAATTCAGCCAGCAAATCATCATAAAACAATATTCTGCCCATATTTCCTTTTCTTTTAAAGCTAGAATATGTATCTTAAAAAATACCTTTGTTCGCTTTTCTATTCTCAGGGGCTTTGCTTCTACAGTTTCATGTGGTCTCATATTAACCAACAGCCAGGGGGTAATGGTGGCTAATGTTAGTTAATATAATGCAATACAAGTTATGTGCAAAAAACGAATTTAATCAGTTCAAAGACTTAATGACTCTTCTCTGCCTTTGTTATTGTTATATATAGTTTTGCCTCTGAAGATTTTAGACTTGGTCCCATGATGACAACGTCCTTAAAGCTTCACCAGTCAGCAATGTAATCAGATGATTATGTAACCTGAAGGTTTTTCTTGTGACAGAGCCACCACAAATCTCCTGTCCTGGTTTTCTACTGTCTACCTGGTCAGGAAACCAAAGTCTTATTTTCACTGATGGTCACTGTTTCGATTCTAAACACAAATACGCAACATCCGGTTTGTGACACTTCCTGGTCAGCTCGTTCTCATTAACTCTTTCCATCGACGCCAATATTCTGATATTAACCAGATTAAGCCTATAGTCTGAATAAGTCTCTGCCACGTTAACAGCATTTTTTATCATCTTCACCTGAATAAGGTCATACTCGGAATAAGAAATAATCAAATTGAGATGTGGAGTATTGTGACCTTAGTCACTTTATGTAAATATGTATACATCTTAATTGCCTTCTAACATCCTATTGGAGACACACATGACACACATGCACTGGGTGTAAACAAGTTGGAAAAATAAAAAGGAGCAAAATTTGAAAGAAAACCGGGCCTGAGTCATTATCAGGCTATGCTCTGCAACATGGAAACAGGAATATGAATGAAATATTCTATAAGCAACTCATGCAAACACCATAATCAAAATAATGCAATTTGAATAAGGTCAATTATTGGAATATATATTTGTGTGGGTTTCTTCACACTCGCTCACTCACCCTATCAAACTCAGACTAGACAAGCCCTCATAGATATCAAACATCTGGAAGGCTCTGATTCAGTTGGTCAGACTAAGTCTGTAAACCCCTCACGCTTCATGATTATTTGGCCGATAATTTGTTTGGATCAACCTCAACTCCCCTGCTAGCAAAGGGGATGAATCGGACCCAAAATCGGGTTGATAAACCTCTAATGCGCAGCAGACATCACACCTCTTTTAGCTCTGTCTAGGTTGTAGTCACACACTATTCCCACAAAGACACTTGTTTTCAGCTTTAAAAACCTGACAAACCGACAGACGCTATACGTTGGTGCTTTGGTGGAGATCGAAAAAAACCCAGATGAAAGAGGAGCAGACGATCGAGTTATACTCAGATTTGATTCAGGAGACCAGAAAACCTGTGTAACTAAGAAATAACCCGTTGACATTTTCACCACAGCACCTTTGTAATTTGATAAAATGCCATATGTTGTGTTTTCAGCTTGTTCTAATGGTCTCAAGTGTCCAAAAGAACACTGACATGGTCTGGCTGCACATTTTGTGCTTTCCTAAGCACGTTCACATCAAGAGTAGAAAAGCTTCTGAGTCAACATTTCAGAGAATCATGAGACACAAAACTCTTCACAGAGAGTCGGACTAATTGAATTCTCCCAGCAGCTTCAGGCGAGCTTCCCTGCAGGCTTTACAAACCCTACACCGATGAAGCTGCTCAGTAATATTCTGCGAAACTGGGCTGGAGTGGTTTCTCACCTCAATGATAAATAGTACAAAAACGTACTCAGTGGCTGCAGTCAGGGAGGAATGTCATCATATCAGGGGACAACAGAATCTGATTTTTAATAAATATCAGTTCCATAATTTTATCCCACGACAGTAAAATACTGATTAAATAGCAGTGTTTGTAAAGTGGAGGGACTTCTCAAACCTTTACTACACCAACATTAGCAGGTATTTGCAGGTGGGTAAACCTGCTAAGAGGAGTGTGCCTTTCTACTGCGTCATGGTCAACATGACGCTGAAAAGCTCTCTTACATCGTGTTTCATTTTAAGAAAAAAAACTGTTTCTGTTGCTCTCAAGATGTAAAATGGTAACAAAGGTTCATGGTGATTTATGCCCAGAAGTTCAATGCGCATCATAATGATGTGACAACATCTAGACTGCCAAAATAAAAGAGAAGAAGAAATTAATGCATTCACCCAGGTTTCGTTTCAATTACATAAACAGGAAAATATGAATTCCGTACATATAGTCCTGATTAATAAAGATTTTTTCATTATTTACTTAATGCACTGCATGCAAACCTTAGGATGACTTAGGCATGTACCTGTATATATATACATACACATATACACACCCAAGGCTTCCAGTAACTTGTCAAGCTTAATAAGAGAATTATGAAATGTTTTAAAGTGCTCTCTGCAGACTCGTGGGAAGACTAATTTGTTGCTTGCTTGCCAAACGCCTCAGTATTGAAAAGATGCATCTTGTGTGACTTTAATTAGGATTCAGATATCTGAATACTCAAGTCCTGATTCTGGATATGAGTCAACTGTGGATGGGCTTGATCCAGACGCTGTGAGCGAGCCCAGTCCTCGCAGAGTCTCTGTATGGTAATCACTGTGTGTCCCTGCTCGCATTTCTCCACTCTCCCTTTTCTCTGTTGAGGTCAGACCTTTGAAAACATGTCTCTGATGTCAAGCCAGGGCCTCACTCCTCAGATGAAATGGGGGTTTGTGTTTGTATGTTTGTGTGTGTGTGTGTGTGTGTGTGTGTGTGTGTGTGTGTGTGTGTGTGTGTGTGTNTGTGTGTGTGTGTGTGTGTGTGTGTGTGTGTGTGTGTGTCTGTGTGTGTGTGTGTATACACAGTACACAACAACAGCTGCTGAATCGGTGTCACCACCCCCACTGGGACCTAATCTGCTACCTCACAGCAGTTTGTGTGTGTATGTTTGTGTGTGCGTGCATGTGTTTTGTGTGTTGCCTCGTTAGCGCTCTCAGTGTATGTCTGAAGCCTGGTGCGCCACTTGACAGCAACCACTCCTTCCTCATCTCCCAGCACACACACTGAGCAAATTCAAATTCCAATTCAGAACAATCGTATTTGTCCCCAGAGGCCATTTCTAAGTGCATGTCAAAACACAAGTGAAAACAAGAAAGAAAACAACAATGACATCAGTGCAATATCCACAGAAAGTTAAAAATCAGTGCAGTATATTAAGTAAGAGAAGTGTATATGAATTTAAAAGGATGGTGAACATGATAACGGCTGTGAAAACATTAAAGTGATCGTAGCACATACAGTTTACACACACACGCAGAGTACATACTCAGATACACGGTCGTAACACACAGAGAAACGAGCCGCAGCACATTTCATTTGCAGCTCAGCAATCTCCTACTCTGAGTCAATAAATTGGAACCCGTGAGCGACATAAAAGTTAAAGGGGGAAAGAAAGAGCAGGGATTTTGTCCAGAACCATTTGCATCTGTAAACCAGAGTCAGAGGATTATAAATGTAACCGTTCACTTGTGTCTAAAACCTCAATAATATGATTTTATTGAAAGCATGAACAAAAAAATATGTCATCTCGACCACAAGTTCCTGCTGATTTTGTTAAAAAGAATCATTTTGTGGACAATGACTGGCTTTAGAAATGCAGATGAGGAGTGTGGAAGAACCCTCAGTGGGAACAATGGAGGCGGTCATAATATGCTCCAGTAAAGTGGGTTACCAGGCCCTGTGGCTCCTGTGATTTTAACCAGCTGCTGCGGCGAGGACGAGGCGAAGGATTTTCCTTTTTGTTGCTCGTCGTGTGAATTAGATTAATCCACAGCCGTCGCTGAGTGCGTGTATGTTTTAAGTTCTAGCATGAAAATTTTTATTTTTGGCTAAAGGCAACTTCAGTGCGACTGCTGTAATGTCACTGTTGGCTTAAAGAAAGGTTTGAGTCCCCATGGAGCTCCTCCGGCTGTTACAACACGCACTCAGCAGGGGCCTCAGAAGCAAAACCAATCTCGAACACATGTCAGGGTAGTATGACATTTATCTTTGCCCCCCCCCCCCCTTAAAACTTGTTCCTGTAATTAATGCCACGGCTGCTGCTAAATGTCATTTTGTGCGCCCACACCCAATAGATTTCTTCTCTGCACTCCAATTTAGGAGGGTCTCTTTTTCTTCCTTTCAGCCACAGTAGAGTCGTCTGGTGTCCTCGCTGCTATGAAAGCACAGAGCTCATTACCAGCCTCATTCATCATCTCTCCTCTCTGTCTCTCTCTGTCCCCCTTCAGCTCAACGAGTTGTTCAGGAAGTCGGAGGTGCACAAAGATTTCATGAGCGTTCGCATCCGTAACCTGGCACCGAGCAACTCCATCCTGGCCTTTGTGGAGGCTCACTTCAGACCAGGTGAGAGCAGATTTCCCCTCCCAAAAAACAACTGTTATGTCGCAAACAGAAAAATAAACTGTACATGTTTGGAATCACTTATGATTCGTCGCGCTTTGTCTTTTCGCAAGCAGGATATCTCAGAAATGACATGATTTAAATAATACTGGGATTAAAGTTAGACCATTTGTCAAGGGAGACCTACTTTGTTTTTTAGTGCAGAATAAGCCATGATGTTACCATACTATAAGCACTAACCTTCATCTACTTTTCACTCTTCACTTTCAGCCTTTTCTCATGCACAGATTAGTTTGTGTAGAGCTCTATAATTTTATTTCTCGACAAATTCCACGCACCTATTATATACATAATTTAGCACCTAACAGTTTTAAATTATATTTTTAATATCCAGCCATCACATTCTCTTAAAACTTATTACTAAAATCTCAATATCTGTGGCCTGTTTGACATGAATTACCATTATTCTTGAAGGCACCTACCAAACTGCACTTACTCTGAGTGGATGCACACATCCCCTCAGAGTAATCCAGGGAACTTGAATAGCATTTTGCCTGAACAGTAAGTGGTACTACAGCTGTAACAACTTTGATTGAAATGACCGTAACTCAGTGTTTATGCCTCACCACCCACAGTTCCTGCGTGTGCAAACATTACCAAGTCTTAAGTACCGTGCAAATGATCATCTGTTTTTTGTTGCAATGTGCACTGCTGCAGGTTAAAAACATCTACACTTTACTATGATTATTAAAATGACACATTTAAGAGTATTTCGCAGCCTTGGCAGAACTATATGTGTTCTCTCATTATGTTTTTTATCTGGCTCAAGATATTGTGAGGCACTGAATGTTTCTCCCAGTTTATTTCTCAGTGCCAACTACATCGCTTGCTTGGAACTATTTGGATTTTCTACATGTTGAGATTTGTATTTGATATTGATCAGAGACAGGATAAGTTCATGCAAAACGCTGGTAAAAATGTTGGATTGTGCATAGCATCCACTGTAGATATAATATTCTGTCATATTATAATAGTTTACAAGTTAACAACTAGATAGTTGTGTCATTAAAGGTTTGTTTATTTTACCAATGGTGTAATTACAGGCTTGTATTTTTTAATTGCCAAACTTCAAGGTACTAGTATTCATTAAATTATAATCTTTTATGAATAACATTTTAGCTCTGGTTGATGTGGAACAACCGTACATTTACAAGGCTTCTTTTGCACGACACAAACAACACCACCTCCCCGCCTTGTTTTTGTTTTCTTTTATGAGCGTCATTTAGCATCCCTCATACGCTTCATACAGGGCGTCGGACACTGTAAAGCAACGCTCCTCCATGGCCAGTAAAGCGAGCTTCTGCAGTGAACGTTATGAGAGCAATTCATCTAGAACAAAGCCAGACAAGCAATAGGTGGAGGACAAGTGGTCCCACCAGACTTTCTACCTGTCCTATACAGGGCTCTCAGATAATATCCAGTGTATCACTAAGGAAGCTCGAGCCCTCTATTTGCTTTGGGAGTGTTCCTCAGTGGACTTGTCCTGAGTGGTTCTACCTCTGCTTTATTGTAGATACAAGATTCACAGTGGAGGACATCGAAGGTTCCCTGCTGAAACAGCTGAAGGCCTCCAAAGAGACCGGCATCGCCGTGAAGAAGCCAGAGGACGAGAATATTCGCTTCACCAATTATGGTAATACAGTAGTGTGTAGGGATTTACAAAATGAAAAGGGGGTTTAAGTTATTCATGAGGTGATTTATCAAAGGGTTTAAGGGTTTTGAAAAAGAAATCTCAGCACCTCAGGCTCAACATGCTTTAATACATGTTTTCTTCTTTTTCTAATTTTGATTGTTCTCTCCCGCATTACTCACAGGCCTTTCCACCATCCCCTTCTTCACGACCACTACCACCACCACGGCATCTGTCACCACAGCTGCTCTCACCACCACCACCACTACCACCACCACCAGGCCTCCGCCAACCTCCCCATACATTACCCGCCGGCCACCGAGCACCACCCGCAGACGCACCACCACAACTTCAGCACCGGTTACCACGCCACTCCTCACAACAGCAGCTATCACCACGACCCCTCCGCCCCCAGCTACCACCATCGCCCACTTCAGGGGCAAGCTTCATCACAAGGCCCACAAGCCGTGTGACTCCCACCCCTGTCTCCACGGGGGCACCTGCGAGGATGATGGCAACGATTTCAGCTGCAAGTGTCCCGCCGGGCGAGGAGGCTCAGTCTGTGAGAAGGGTGAGCTTTATTTCTTCTCCAATATTTGTTATGACTCTTATATCAAAAGTTGGAACAGAGTTTGACTACAATATGCTACTGTCGGATTTTACAGTTTGAAAGAAACCACCAGTGGCCGACTTTGACTTTACATTGATTTTGGGTTTTAGGGAGTTTTTGAGAAGGGCTTTTGAAGGACTGGACTCAAAATGCAGGACACGAGACAGACAAGATTTTTAGGTTGTTATTGTAAAACTTAATCTTGCTGTGGGGATATACAGAGGTGTGGAGCTGCAGGCAGGAGTCCTCACAGGCTGAGCTGGGCAGGCAGATTGTGAAGCAAACAGTTATTCCATGAGTGGAGCTCACGAGCAAAACTTCAAAAGTTAGGTGTGATCTGGCACTGGAGTGAGGATCAAGGGCTTAAGTACTTCAACCAATGAGTGGTTGGCAGATGAGTCTCAGGCGTGTTGGAGAGTTGGCAGGCAAACAAGAGTGAAGGGAAAAACAGGAGAACATGGGGGTATTGTTAATATAATATAATCTGTGGAGTATATTTCTATAAATGAAATATATTGATTCTGGCAGAAGGAATAGGTTTTGGTTGTTCACAAAGTGGTGAAACTTGAATATAAGTTTGAGTAATGACTCTCATTTAACTGTTTTGTTCGTAAATGACATGTAACAGATGTTCACAGATGTGGATTTTTTCTGATATTTGAAGCTCAACATGGCAACAGAAATCAGAGCTCAGGGAAAAGCTCATGTTTTATCATCATCATTTTATACACATACATTTTATAAGCAGCCTCATCAGTTCCCCAGATATGATTACATAGATACAGATAGAAGTGATGAGCCTACAGCTGGATGCTGAGGCATTGACAAGCAAAGGCAGATATGAGAAATCTTAGCAGCTTAAACAAACGTGAGGCATGACACATACTGAGACTAGTACAGCTCGAGTTTACTGCCTGAACTAGCTCACAAGCATTGCTCCATTCATAACAGGGAAAAAAGGACTGCTGCAGCAGGTGCATGGCGCAAAATGGTTTTCTTGGTCTGCTAATTAATCATGGGTATGTTTTGGGTGCAATAAACCATATAGATTTAAACCATTCCCTTTAAAAGCCAGATGGGCTTTTTAATGGCAGATTTTTCCAGGTAGTAAGAGAGAACTCTTCTCTGCAGTAGAAGTTCCTCTTGAGAAGCACAACTCTTTTGCTTCTTCCTTCTTACCCTACTTTTGGGGGCGAGAGAAAATTCAAGCAGCTGCATCTTAAGATAATTGACACTAATTGCTTCGACGCAGATTAGCTGGTGACAATCGGTGTGTGTCTTTGAGTTAGAGTGGCTAAATTGAAAACACACACGCACGCAAACACACACCTCCCCAAGATCAATCAAATCATTAGAATAGAGTGAGCTCATCAGCTGCCAGTCTCCTCTGAGAGACGGACAGAAAGACAGATGGACAGAAAGAAAGGGAGCTGGGGGAGAAAATCATAATTGTCAAGTAGCGACAAAACAAAGGTTTCTGTGTGTGTGTGCGTGTGTGTGTGCGTGTGTGTGTGTGCGTGTGTGTGTGTGAAAAGCTCAGCCCCTCCTCTTTCTCAGCTTTTCTGCTTTTGATAAATTCATTGTGTGTTTTGGAAAATCATCAATCTCAAACTAAACCGAGAGATCGTCAAGACGAGCAGCTCTCATCTTTAATTAAGCACATTAGACGCCTATTATGCCACAATAAAACAAATCACATTGTAATGAGAGCATTGGCTTGTTGTCTCCACTCCTCCACAGTGATCAAGTACTTCATCCCATCATTTGGAGGCCAGTCCTACTTGGCCTTCCAGACCATGAGCGCCTACCACACGGTCCGCATCGCCATGGAGTTCAGAGCATCCGAGACAACCGGCATCCTGCTCTACAACGGCCAGGAGGGAAAGAAGGACTTCATCTCTCTGGCTCTGGTCAACGGCAGGGTGGAGCTCAGGTGAGTGTCGGCTGATTGAATTTGATGAAACTTTAATGACCGCCGTGAGGAAACAGTCATTGCATTAGCAGCAGCAACCGAGAGGACAGAGATAAGAAGAAAACAAACAGAAGCACCAGAGATAATGAGGCAAATAATTATAGCAAGTAAACATGTTGAAAACAATGCTGCCAGAAATAAATACAGACACAGAAGCATCTTGACAGATCTGCAGGTTAAAGCTGTGATACAGTGCTTTCAGAGATATGTTCAAACTTATCATATTTACAGATGGTGGGAACATATGCACAGAAATATGTGCAGGAGATCTGAGTTTTGTGCTTTTTAATCACATGCTCTATATTTAGAGGTAGGACTGGATGTCCAAGTGGGAAATGTGCATTTACAGATGGAAATAATGACGTGTAGAAATTGGTCCAGAAAGTGGTCCAGAGATTACTCATCATTGCATTTGACTGTGTGGCTTTACATACAGATATGTGCAGTTGCGACTGAAAATAACATATAGTGTGTACAGAAAAACATTTTGTAAATCTCTGCTAATAAGAATCATCTTGATAGGTGAATATTCACAGATTTTACGATATCCCTATTACCTCTGATAAGGATTTTATGTTTTCGACTGTTTGTTGGCAATTTTGTGAAGGGGTGGGACATAACCAAAGGAAGAACCCATTACATTTTGGTGCAGATTTGGGTCACTGACAGCTGTGCCGACAGTGTGCGAGTGACATACAGAGACAAAAATCCGCTCACGCTCACACTACGGTCAATTTAGAGTCTCTAAATTAACCTGCATGACTTTAGACTGTGGTCTGAAGCCAGAAGCCCCACAGACGTGGGGTGAACATGAAGGAAAGGCCTTGGCCGAAATGGGATTCAAAATCCTCTTACGGTGAATTACCTTAATTAATATCATGATCACACATTAAAACAGTACTTTATCTACATCTCCCAAGTGATCAAAAGTTTCTATTGGTTATTCTGTGATCATTATTGATACTTGGAAGTGTGAAGAATGGACAAAATCAATGCTGCAGAGACCAGGTTATCTTGACTCCAGAAACATTGGACACGTTCCATAATGAAAATGAACAATGACTGCCTGGTAAACAGACATATCTTTTAATCACCATGGCTACAGTGAGTCAGACCGTCTGTGAAATGTTTTAGATTTGAAACCAGGCTGAGTATCGCTCCTCACAACTGGTGAATTGATGCAGACGTGTTAAATTGGTGGCATGCCCATTGAAGATGTGTGGTAGGAGTTGAAGAAGGATACATTTTCCCTCCTTCAGCAGACAGTATCAGTTTTGGACTCAAAGCTAAAAGCGACAGAAAGTTTCATCAGTTGAATCTGTTTAAATTAGACAATTTTCCTGTCAGACACTTCTCATCTCTGTCCTGGAACTGTATGAATAAAAAATATTTTCTCAGAAAAACAGCATCATTTCTCCTTCAGAAGAAATGTGAATGAACTAATTAGAAATTCTGCACCACGTCTGTTTTTATTTCAAACGCTGTCCGCTTTCTTAATCATTTTAGGTCTTTTGTCTCAACCTGACCCTCGAAGTCCTTTAAATTCCTCCCAACCTGGCCACGTTAGATTTCTCTATTCAGAGTAAAATCGATAGCAAACTAAAGGAGATCATTAGTCACTTGTGCTTTCAAATGGAGCTCTGCCTCTATTGCAGAAACACAGCTGTGAGATTACTGCACAACAGCTCGAGACATGGGGAAAGGAGCTAATTATTTGTGGCAAATAATTGCTCTCAGGTTGAGCTAATACTACTGTATGTGTGGGTGCACGTACACAACAACTCTCTCTGTGAAGGTATGGCCTTTTTCTTGTTGAATAAGAAAGGGCGTGAAAGGCATTTCTTACATAGTTTGGAATCCTTAATGGGATTCTGGGAGGTATGAGTCTTGCTCTTTCTTTATTTCATCCCTCTCTGTTTCGTTGAGCAATATGAGCAGATTTCTTCTAGTTATTAGGCGCTCGATAAAGAACCAACTCATTGTGTGACAAAAAAAGTCCTTGAGTGCTTTAATCTGATCTGAAGTGTGAAAGTACACAGGTATAAAGTTGACTAACACGTTTTGTTTGCCATCTCCTCAGGTTCAACACGGGTTCGGGCACAGGGACGGTGGTCAGCAAAGTGCAAATCAGTCAGGGCCGCTGGCATCAGCTCGTGGTGACTCGCAATCGACGCAACGCCATGCTCAGCGTGGACAACGAGCCGCACATTGAGGGCGAGAGTCCACGCGGCACAGACGGCCTGAACCTGGACACCCACCTCTTCATCGGAGGAGTGCCTGAGGAAATGAAGCAGGAGTAAGACCTTTTGTCAACAGTTACACATCGTTATGATAACAGTAATGTCAGGAAATGAATCAAACACAAAAATCTATCAGCTGTGGTTTCCTTTTACTGATATTTTTATATCTTTTACATTATATTGAATACAGTAAACTTATTTTTCCAATCTCCCACTCCCTTGTCCAGATTAACCTTGCATTTGGCCTCTGAAATAGCTGTGGGCTGCTATTTACCTCCAGTTGCACATACACACAAGTTTATTTACTATCACAATTAATTTTTTATTGAGGCTGCTTTCAAACAGGTGGACTAGACTGGAACTACCTTAAGGCTCTAATCATTTCAGTTGATCTTGTTCATGCAATTCAAATTTTAAAGGGAACATGCTCTTTAACAATGCATGTTTTTAAAAAAGAATTGTAGTTACTGAGTATATTGGGTGATGCAGCCATGTTTCCATTCATAGGCTCTTAACTTAGTTAAGCTTTATGTAGCATTTGATTTGATAAGAGGGTTTTGGATGTTTGCTAATTGTTAAAAAAAGGTCATTCGTGGAGCATTTATTCATTGCTCTCATAGAATAATAATATGTTACATCTGTAGTAGGTCTACAATTAGTTAGTTAATTACTTCAGCCTCATCCTCTACTGTAATGTACCGAGGCATATAATTGCTTTAGGCTCAGCAACAATACACTCCGACAGTGTTTTATGGCTATATTAAAGAAAAACTACATTTTGAGATTTCAAATATAAAATTGTAATATTAGGACAATGAAGCCATTATACTCTGAGAACATTTATAAATAGGAAATAATAATAAAAAGTAGATAAGTTCCTCTCTTTCTCGATCCAATCTCATTATCTCAACAGTGAAACCTGTTTGAATAGCACACATGTAATCAACCATGGCCTCACAGTCACCCACTACCAAACATTTCCTCCTACACAAAAGAGGCAATTCACTCCAAGTCCGAGTAGTTTTTTCTGCAGACAGTTTCTTACACCATCTTTTCAAAATCCTGATCCTTATGAAAATGTGGAGCTGATGTGAAAAAAGATTTAGTATTTCATTATTTGTGAAATTGGCTGATCTTATGATATTCAAAATGACAAACAGCCTAAAATTACAACATAAGTCACCAAATATTCAGACTTTTTTCTCTTACTAATGTGAATTTATTCTCATAATATTATGACTTTGTTCTTTAAATGTCTTTAATTGGCATAAAGCATATAGCATCATCTGAACCATAGGTCCAGTGTTATTAAGTGAGTGTGATTAGTGTGGTAATCGTATCTGTATGTGTTGAAAGAAACACATTAAAAGTCATCACATTCTTACTGGTTTCCGTTTTATCCTCAGTGTGAAGGAGAGGACAGCGGTGGCCACAGGTCTGGTGGGCTGCATCCGACTGCTGGACGTCAACAACCGAGTGCTCAACCTGCAAGAGAGCGGGGGCAACAGTCTGTACGGCAGCGGCGTGGGTGAATGTGGCAACAACCCCTGTCAGCCGAATCCCTGTAAGAACGGCGCAGCGTGCCAGGTGAAGGAGGCCGAGATGTTCCACTGCCAGTGCAGCAGAGGATTCTGGGGTAAGACGCCAACAAAAGGTGCAGATCAGCAGTTTCTCTTATGTTGCGCTGGGTTTTCTTCTCAGTCATGGTGTTTTGAGAAGTTAATTCATCTGTGTGTGTGCAGGAAACTTGGAAAATAATTCTTATTCAGAAGTACTTTTCAGACTTTTCTAACACCTTGTCGTTAAAATGATGTTTATATCTCTGCTATGCCTTCTCTTCATGGATTCACTCTGGTCATGATTTACTCACAAATCCTAAGTAAGCTTGACAGCCTAATTTGACAGTATAACTCGTGCCCCCAGCAGGAGCGCCCGTGGACGTTTTGTAAACACCAACTCCATCATATCAGAGAGTCCAATGCCGAAATGATTAAATGTTGAATCAGCACAGAAAACATAGAAACTTCCACCAAATCCTCAGCGATTGGCCTTTGGCCTGTCTCTCCTCCACATCCCTGCCTCCCTCCTCTCTTACTCCCTCCAGCAGATGCCGACTAACAAGCAACTCTGAGAGAAAATAGTGAAGACCCGACACACTCAGGGCCCAGTCAAGCGTACCCCTGCCCGGTTGTTCCGCAGCTACTGCAAAAAGTTTAATTCCAGAACCAAATAAATTGTCAGAGTTAACTTTTATGCTTTAATAGTAAAGGATTTTATACTCGTACATCTTGGTGGTTATGGGAAACTATTTTCCCTATAAGAACAATTTTCCTTCAAGTTAAAGTGTGGATCAATAAAACATCATGTTACAATATTATTACCTTTCATATAGTTTTATGCTTTGTTACTGAGAGACCTGAGAAGGAGGAAGATAAACCTCTGCTGTGGAGAAGAGGCACCGCTGTAATCAAACTTGTGTCTGCAACATGGAGTAAAATGAATGGTAGTAAAGTTAATCTTGTCATCGTGTCAATTTAGAAAGTGGCAAAGATTGTCTCAAAGAGAAGGACTGATCAGAGAAAGAGAGCATAAATGGGAAAAGAGAGGTGTAGTTAGATGGAGGAAATGTCAGAACCACCAGATGAATGATGGAGGTGAGAGAGTATTAAAAGATAAAAAGTTGGGAAAGGAGGAAGTGATATGAAAAGAAAGAGCTGCGGTAGGGAAGAAGTGAGAGCGGAGGATTAAAGAACCATTCCAAATGGTGTGAGTGGGGAGAAAAAAATGGGGGAGCCCTGTGAGCTCAGCGGGGATGGGGTTCATTAAAGTGCTCTCCTCACCACAGGCTCCAACTGCTAAAGTAATGACGGGTGAATTTAGATGGGCTGAGACGGAGGGCTAAACCATCACCCTCCAGGCGATTGCGAGCCGTTCCCACAGCTGGTGTTGGCCCTGGAACACACATGCCAGGGAGACTCTCCACTGTTTAATCTGGACGTGTAATATTTTGAAATCCTATTAGGAAATGACCTCTATTACAGAGGGAATCCTCATACACACACACACACACAGTCCTCACACCGAGAGAGAAGGTGGTTGAAAATGTCAGCTGTTGTCATAATTTTCATTTATCGTTGTCTCATAATGTGTGTGTGTCCGTGTGTCCAGGTCCAACCTGTGCTGATGTCCATGACCCATGTGAGCCCAACAGATGCCATCCATCCTCCCAGTGCCAGGCGCTGCCAGAGGGAGGCTACAAATGCGAGTGTCCCATGGGACGTGAAGGAAGGCACTGTGAAAAAGGTAATCTGACTAAAGAGTGAATTACCTGGTTTAACTCTTGTCTCTTCATGCCTTGGTTGTTCTCTCTGGTGCTTGTCAAAGTGCACATGTATTTTAGCGAGGAGTCAGCGGCTGCACCACCCACCTTTTAGCCTCGTTACCTCCTGTTTTCTTTCCGCTCTGTGACATTTCCATCCATCCTGAATTGAGGAGAAAGATCAAACACAGAAAGGTGGGGGGCCTTCGGGGTCGGAGGGGATTGGTGAGTTGGTGGGCTGAATGCAGAAGTAAGGTAGATGATTGGCCCCATCGGGCCATCCGCCACATTGACTCAGCTGTGCTTGTTAGTGGTTCAGTGACAGCCAAGCTGCAGCCTTCCTCTACCTCTCCCTGCTGGCCGCCCACAGGTGTAGTGTTCAAATGTGTTTGTTGCTGCTGAGCTACAAACATGGCAGAGTCAGACCTCGGCTGGGGAACAGACCAGAGCACAGCTCAGCTGCTTTTAAAGTTCATCATTACCACTTTTAGCAGCGTCACACTCCGAACTCTACCTGTGTGTCGTCCCTCCCTGCGTTTGTAGATGTTGTCATGAGCCTTTGAGTCATCGTTGATTATGATCAACTGGGAATGAAAGAGAATACCCAGTAATGCACATGCCTAACAACAAGCATGCACTCTTGTAGCTCTGGGAATTTAGAAGAACCAGATGGGAACAACCTCCCTCTGAGCCTCAAGTCCCGGTTAGCAGGTGATTAAAGTAAATTGAGGTGAACCAAAATCAATGCTATGTGAGCGAGAGCATCTCCCATTCCAAAAGGCTATTTTTTCAAAGGAATCAATGAGATGACTAATCGCATCAGTCCTCCCTGCCTGTGATGATTAATGGGAGCGTCACTCAGCCAGAGTGTCGGCCCCAGACAGGAGCTCAGAGATAAGGTGGCAGACAGGCGGACATACCCTCTGAGGGCTGCACTGAGAACAGTTAAAAGACATGTAGCTTAGAGCCCACTCATCAGAAGCCTGCAGGTGTATTAGTCATAATATAAAGTGTATGTATCTGCATGTGTGCACCTGCAGCTGAGCTGTGGTTTCCATTTCAATTCCAACAGGGTCTCTTCAGGGCTGGCACCGCTATAAGATCACCATCAAGGACTTTTCTCAATGGTGTTCCAATAGTATTGAATGGTCTACTTTCCTCAGTGCTTTCAGCCTGTGATAGTGTAAATCATTACAATTTAGTGATGAAAGCTGGATAATTTAGACTAATCCCAGCCTTGAAAAACTAGCTGCAGGGAAGGTTCAAATCCTAACAATGTTTTACATTCTGCCCTGCAGTGACATTAAG